AATAATTAATAAATATTGCAATTTTCTAAAAAAATATATCGAATAATATTTCTTTGGAAAACTGAATCTTCATCGATTTTAGATTTCTATTATATATATAAATGAATTTGCAACTATTTTTCTTGATATTTCGAAATTAGAAAATATTAATTTCGAAGTATATTTGAATTTAAAAATCATTAGGTATCTCCCAGCCAGATGTAGAAGTTGACCCCGGAACACTTTGAATATAGCCAGAAGTCAATAAAACTTGCGCAAAGGTTGACTGGCGGAATATCGCGATTCCATAATTCGAGCCCTAAACGCTAGAACATCCTGGATGGCGCATGATCTCATAAATCCCGAACACTGAATATCCAGAACCCACAACACTCCGGAACATCTAAAACCAGCACACCGGAACACCACGAACCCAGAACTACAACCCAGAACACCCGGTTTTCGGAATACCCAAAGTACCTGCAATACCCAGAACAACCCGCAAAAAACCTAGAATGCTGCAAGAGTCGAGATATAGCCACAAGCGGGAGCCGGAACCCAAAACACTTGGAACCGCGTCTCCTCTCAATACATCTGTTCGTTTATATTAGCCCCGAACCTTCTTGCCAAGCATTCCTCATTTCATGCTTCGCGCTACTTTTAAACAGTGTCTATCCACCGGAAGACCTTGTCCGAACCCCCTCCATGTGGACGAGTATCATGTCTTTCTTGGCCCCGTTGTCGGGGCGAAGATTTTGGCTTCTGATAAATAGGACAAGTCCCCTGTGAAAATAGATTGTTCCCAGCTCCCAGCCATTCCCAGCCACACCAACAAGCTCTGGTGCCTTCTCTCTGGATGAAGATAGTTTACTTGACTGCACACTGCAAATCATTTAATTTGCTCTCCTCCATGGCTACTGGCGTTTTCTTTTTTTGGTGTGGTTTCAATATTACCGAAGTGTCCCAAGCGCTCGGGAAGGCCATTCTTCATTCCCTAATGCGCTTCGCTGTCCAGGACTGTGGGGATATGAACCTCTGGGGTGGTGTTGGAGGGATGTTCGCCGACATGCCTTTTTCCTTGAGTGTGCCTACTCATCACTTTGGATGAATGCAGCTGTTTATCAGCTTAACAGCTGCCGCCGGCACTCTCAAGATCTCTGCCAACCTCTCCTCTGTGTGGCGGATCGCTTTGGGGTTTGCTGCAAGAATTTTCCTAAGACGTGCTTCTCAAAACTGGGTCTGCTCTCAGAAGTCACGTTAATCCAATCCAGTATAATGACCATGACAGCGAACCTGGGGAGCTTAACAGTTCGCAAGCAGGTTCCTGATCGGGCTTTCGCAAAAACGGTATCGCCCCTGAACTCATCGAGTTACGCGTCCTCAAGGATGTCGTGACCATGGACTGCGCTGAGGTGCGCGTCGAAAGACGGTACGACCGTTCCAGGCAAGTGTACTTGCCTTGGAGAGGAAGGCTTCTGGCCGCAGACTATTGTTGGCAACTGCACCAAGCCATGTCTCGGCCTGGTATGCAAGGGTTGTCAATTCTTGTCTCGCCTTGTCTGCCTTAAACTGGGACCGGTGTGGCTAATGAAGGGTTTTTCGACCCATGTCTCCCTTTGACTCCAATGTGGCCTTCTGTCTCCATTTATTTCTTGCTCCTCTTTGTTTGGGACCGGCGGGAGCGAAGCTTGTCTCCTTTTTCCAAAGAGTTTGCTTTGGGGTTCTTGCTCGTATCAAGAAGAACTTTGCCAATGCTACCACGGGGCAAACTTGCCACCGGCTGGTCGCTGGCACCTCATCACGTGCAGCCAGCAACTGGATCAACTGCATCATGCCAAATCACCTTCCACCAGCTATTAAGCTACTAGATGCTTCCCTTGCACTCTTGCAGCTCACGCTTGAACACTGGCCTTGGCAACAAACCCGTTGCAAGTTCAATTCTCCGAACAAGGAAGTCACGCTGGTCTGTCGTGTCTGCTTGGATTTGAGGGCAGCGCGTGCGGAAGCAAGGGGCCTCTCCTTGGGCAAGGAAGCTATGCCTCCCTTCCGATGAAGGATGAGTCGGGAGGTGCTGTTCAACAAAACATCGTACAAGTGTACTAACACTACCATTGTCGCAGTCCGCACCATTGCTGAGCAGCGTCTGGAATAGAGGAGCTGCTTTCCCAAACGGAGTCTGATTCTACCTGTGGACGAGTCGCCAGCCCAAAACCATGACACAAAGGACTGAAGCTGTGGCTGCTTGCCTTTCACATCCGATTCCGGATGCAAACCAAAACCCTGCGAAGTGGTTGAGAATGATCGAGAATTGTCATTGGCCTCTTCCATGTGCTGCTGCGATTGCACTGGCGAAGAAGGCAGCCTTCGCTGGAAAAGTCTAGACTTTCCTCACACAGGCAGGAATGCTGCCATTTCGGTTGAGCAACCATGGGTGCTTTGACCAGTTCGGACCAGGGATGCCGAGTGAAGCCACTCGTTGAGGACTCGCAAGCGGGCTGGGAGTGGCGTGGAGGCCAGCTGTGAAGCTCCGGAACTCGGCCTCAGCCACAAGCAGCCCTTGTAGCTGCGGAGGTATGGGAAGGACAGGGAAACTGGAAAGGGCCAAAAGCACAAGCCGGGAAACACCTGGACTTGCCAAAAGACAAAATGAACTCAATACCCATTGTCATACTGTTGCATCAGCTTTCCGGCCTTCTATCCGAAAGTGATCGAACCTGCTCTTCCAACGCAGGTCTGAAATAATCTGAAACTTCTTCCGAAAGCAATCTCGGGATTCTACTTGTCTTGTTTACGTGCCTCCTGCGACCAGCTCCGCATGATCGCAGTGATCTCATCTGAGCCGCATTACTACACATAAAGTACCCAAGGCAGTATAAGGCAGTGACAAGAGGTTGCTCCGCGTGATGCCATCTAGCATCGCATTGCTCTTCTAGATGGTGAGATGCAACTCATGCTTTCTGGTGCTTTGCTTTGGGATGAGGAGCCACGCCGCCGTGCCGAAGCGAGTGTCCGGGGTGAATGCTCAAAGGGAGCACGGGCTGTAGCGCCTGAGACAGAATCAAATTGAAATTGAAAGGCATGACTGTGTAGTGTTTGCGGAAAGTTACCGTAGCTAGAGAACGCTGGTCGGACCGCTCCACACATGTTTGCGAAAAGGACGGCGAATTGAAGGTAGGTATTGGCACATAGATTGCAAATGGAACGGCAGGGCTCAAGTTATCTGACGCAGAACTCGAAAGACTGAAGGGTCATGCAGCAAAGCTTTCTCCAACGCACCGCATGGGTCGCAGTTCCATGCCCATGGATTAAATTTGTCCACAGTCTTTCAGGTTTCTTCGACGGCCCCTCGACGGCCCCGCCTGAAAGTTCATCTTGTGACGAAGCTGCGCTGCCACAAGCCATTGAGACGTCGGGCTGAACACTTTACAAGCTCTATACGGGGCTTACTATTACCGTGCTACACTATCGTTGCCATGTTGAGATGTTGGTTCTGTCTCCATGGAATCAACACGCCCGGTTGACTGCACCTCACATGGAACCAGAATTCGGCATGCTGCGCAACATGCGACTCGTTGTGCCTGCTTCCAACCACCAAGACTAGCACGATCCAGAGCCGACGCTTATCATCTGCACATTGGCAAAACCGTATGCGTCGGTGTTTTTTCCCGGCGCGGTGTGTCAAACGCTTTGCCTGGGCTGTGCAAATCAATGGTCGGTCGGTGATGTTCTTCAACCGTAGAAGCATCTTTCGATAACGTGTAGTGACTGGCCAAGATGCAAGTTTTCCGACTTGATTGATTTGGAGACACCGTCCACGAGCACTTCGTACCTGCGGAAGATTCGCTGGCTTCGGCTTGTCATCGAGATTCCAGCTTGTTTCCACTTCCAATAATACTTTCGATGTTGACCTACCTAGCTTAAACCACATTGGACAAAGGGTTCCGACTGAGGGCAGGCTTCGTGTACCTGGCAACTGCAAAGGCTTGCCGAATGCCAAGCTGGTTGTACAAGTGATGCTTCGAGTGAAGATCTGTGCAAGCCAACGTGGAAATTTGGAGCTCTGTTACCCTGCGTATGGGGTTGAAGACTTGACGAAGCAGAGGACCAAAAATTGTAATACTTGTACAGGTTTTCTGAAAGGTGTGTCCATTCCTTTAAGCCAGCTTTCCGAGAATTTTAGCTTGAAAGATTCTCAAACTGGGCTCGCTGAGGTATCTTCAGCGAAAAAGTGTCCGTAGTGAAGATCTCATGTACGTTGATGTTTGTCACTGGTGTCCATTGGGCGCACTTTTCTGTGCCTCCTCTCTCTGGAGGCAGGGCAGCGTCCTCTCTCTCTCGCTCTTTTCTTTCTTTCTATCGCCAGGGCCAGGACCAGGGGAGTTAATCCTCTCTCTCCCTCTCCCTCTCCCTCTCCCTCTCCCTCTCCCTCCCCTCACTCTGGGATGATGCGCAGCAGTAAGTGGTGTGGCGAAACACTTTGCAACTTGCCCATGGCCTGGAAACGTCATGGATGTAGCGGTTGACTTCACCAACGCGGCCATTGAGTAACTGCACAAGTTCAGGCGCCGTGGCTACATGGATTTGTCGGTGTCTGCGTGTGCACCTAGACTAAAGCCTGTACAGCCGGCTTCCAACTTCTTGGATGGTTCGGAGATGATGCGTCGAGCGAACCATTTTCGTGCTCAGACATCTCGGGTGCAGGCAGCCCTAAAACCCGAGCCCTTCATCCGGGGCTCTGCTTTTCAATGCTATCGGCTATCACGGTTGATTGATGCAGCGGCCTTGCCAGCATCGCTTTGGAGGCTGTGAATCCTGGCTTGCAAAGGCAAAGGCAGCTGATCACGGTCCTATTAGTATCGCCTTGGTAGGGGCCGTGGCCTGCGGAAAAGCACCACGAGGGCATGAGTTATGATGGCATCCGTGACCAGGCCTGCATTTGTCACCCGGAAGGTAGACTCGTTCTCCTTCCGGTCGAAGGTTTTCGGCTCCTCAGCAGCCCGCTAGAGTCAGCTCGAAACGCGTTCTTGGGCCGTTCCTCCATTGGGTGTGCAAGGAGAAGCTTTTCCTCGAGTGGCAAACGGTCCCCTGAGGCCCTGAGGCCCGGTCGGAGAGCCTTTGTGTCACCGTTGCTGAGCTTTGCCTTGGAGACATGAAGCATCTTTAGGCCAATCGGGCTACCACATCCTGCACAAGACCTGTGATTTGCTTAGGGAACCTGTGACCCCTGTGACCTGCCAACACAATCCTGCAAAAGCTGCTGCATCCTTCAACCCAACAACCCAGATTGGAATATAGGCGAGTTTCCTCCCAGCGTCCGTTCACCGAGTTGTAGCCGACAATCCTGCCATGGAAGTTTCATGCTTGTGGACACCCTGTTGTTTTTCTTGCATTTGCTTGGCCCAGCCAGTGACAGTTTCAGTGCTGGTCCGGAAGCTTACTCTGTCCTCCCACTGAGGCCATTGAGATGCTCAGCATTTTTGAGGCCGCAAACCTGTGAACTGCGCAGGATAGAAACATGTTGGGCTGCGAACTGACCAAGATTCCCCAAAGCTGCAAAGCTGCGCAGTTACTCCATGTTACTCTGCCAGCCGCAAAGTTGCTACATGGGCGCTAGTGGAGGCACGCGGCTCGACATACTGACTGTTGTCCTGTATTGGCGAGTAAGCCTTCTGACTAAGTGTCGGGCCGCGACAGGGGCCCCTATTCTCAGAGCGTTCCTTGGAAAGCCACCGGCAAAGAAGTGACCGAAAGCTCAAATGAACGTCGACGTCAAAACTCTCAAGAGCTCGTCTAAACCCTCCCTGGGTTTGCATGAAGCTTCACACAAGCAGAAATATGGCTTCGCAAACTTCTGCAAAGAGTGGGTTCTGGGATGTGCTCTTCGTGTTCATTTGGTCCGAGGAACGGAGGAGCTCAAGAGCTGAAACAAACATGCCTTGTCAAATTCGTGTCAGACTAAAAACGCTGTCCCGTGTGGTGAGTGGAACGGACGAACTTGCGCATCCGAGAAACTTTGGCTCTGGTGCAGTGTCCGGAGGCTACAAAGAAACGAGATCTTCTCAACTGTGTCTCCAAATCAGTGCCATTACCGTCTTGTGCATAAGCATAAACTTATCACAAACTTGCTTCATCAGCTGAGGCATGTTCTTGCCAGTACAAGTTGTAGAGCCAGCTGCAAGAGTTCGAGGGTCAAGCCTGCTGCTCAGCTTCATAGGAACTGCCACAACTTTCGTGAATTGAGCTGTGCGGGACGCGCAAACATCGGGTCGTGTCCCGTCTCTGAGGATGCCCTCTGATGCGCCTGTCCAGCTGCTGTATGATTGCCTCGGTGCTGAAGTTGGCGGCAGCCTGGACAGCGTTCTAGGAAAAATGTTGCAAAAAGCCATTGTGTTGAACGATGCTGGGTGCTTCGGCTTCCCGTGCAGGATTTAGGGACTGCCGCCCTCTCCCTTGTCCTCATGTTTTGCTCCTGTCTGGCTCCTGCTTGGGGCTGCGCTTCTACAAGTAACACTCATACAGGTGATACCATGTTGCGGGGCACCTACTGTCTGAATGCAAGTCTATAAACATTTACTCGGCTCAAAAAACTGTCATGACTTGCCAGCGGCGAGTTCTGTGGTGCCACATGTCTACGAGCTCGTCAGTCAACTCAGCTCCTGGTGCTCCCTTTGCTTGACTTTCGGATGCAGTTTGAGTCTGCATTTCCGAGTCCTTTTGGCCCTGAGGCTTTAGTAAATTGCTTAGCAAACCCCATGTCAGAGACTATGACGTGTCGCAACCAAACCCAAGGTATCATAACGACGCAAATTCAACCATTTCCAAGCGCTCGAATGTGAGTTGAACCCTAATGCCACCATGTAGTAAGCCACCAACGAACGGACCACTTGCAACAAAAACAGTAGCATTGCAAAGACTGGCCAATTTGCAATTGCAGTGTCTGCGCAGCCTGTTTCGGGCTTAACTTTTCAGGCTAGGTGGTTCCGGATCTCCAAGTATTCTTCGTAATCCGTTGTTTTGACAACTAGCATAATTCTCAAAACCATTTTTGGTAGAAGCAAAGCCCATAAACTTGGTTCGGTAAGAATTTCTGGTGTAAGGCTTCCTGCGGCATGTTGCCAACTCCATACAATCAAGTCTTCATCTCCAAAGCCTGACCCCAGCTTAAACTCGCTCATCTCTCTTTGGGGAAAAGAAAACACAATCAACAAGTCAAGCCGTGATGGGTCGATGCCTGATTCGGCTGGTATGCACCATTTGTGAAATGATGGATGAGGTCCAAACCTCAAGAGGCTTGCAGTCCGGGGACAATGGATTTTATAATCATTACCAGGTTACCTTGCACGTTATGTCACGGCTCGTGCAACATGTTTGTCAAGGGTCTGGCTCGTCCGCTGCCCCATTGCCTCCATGGCGGAGTATTTAGAGGGCAGTCCTGAGTGTATCTTTCGCCTAGTGAAACACTCTGCACGGTGAAGCCGCTAAGCAGCTGAAGACAGTGCAAGCGGTATGCATGACACAGATTCGATTTTTACAGCTGCGTAGCATGGCGAAAATCAAGGACCGCACTCTTTCTCAGCAAGAAGTGCAAAGCGCAGTCCTCGGTGCAATGCCAAATGCCAACAATGAGAGGCAGGCGCGGTTTCTGCAAGTCCAATGAAACGGCCGGCGATTTTGGCGGGATTCTGCGCACAGTCAGCCTGCATCCCAAGCCCTCTGCATTCTGCCAGAACTGTTGCACATTTCTGACACTATATCTAGGACTGTGAGGACCCTGCATATGCTGGTATCTTCGAAAGACGAGTACTCGGCAATTCACTGCCTCGCTGCGTTTCGGGCTTACGTGCTGCTGTAGTGTGCCGTCTTGAAGTACACTGTAGGCTCACGGCGCTGAAGCTGTTGCAGTTCTTCCGTATGAGGTCATAGGTGCCTGGCCTGAGTGCTCACGCGCCATGTCGTGGTGATATCCGTTTGGTGACCCGTGAAGGTGATCGGAGGTGAGAAAGCCCGATTGTTGATGATTATAACTTGCCGACATTCACAACTATGACGAGCATCTCGGCAAAATCATTGGGGACGATACCAGCCAAGCAAACCTCTTGACCTTTACAGAGGAGGGACACAACAAACCACTAGCCCTACACTAATCTTGATGCCCTCGGTATTTCGGACGTGGAGCCTTCAACAGGATTTCCATGCTACTTCCTGTTCGAGTCTGAGGAGCTCTTGCTAGTCACCAGTTGCACCACTACAGCAGCAGCAGTTACGACTGACCGTGCCAAGCCACCGGAAGTGCTCTTGTAAAGCTCGAAAAAGCTGCTGGCCAGTCCAGCGAGACAGGCCCATCGCCAACTGACAAAGCTCCGAAGCACTGAGACAACTATCGTGGGGCTTTCCATCCAACAAACGAATGCTCGCTGCCTCAGGTGTATGTAAAGTCTGAAAATCTGAAACATCATCAAAAACCAAAGCATGTTCTTTCCAAGCTGATCGGGTGGAGGTGTTTGTTGATCCCCTCAGGATGTCGACAGCAATCGGAGAGGAGCCGCCTTCTCTGACGGCTTGCCTTGATGGCCTGTCAGTAGCAACATTGTAGGCTTCCGATCAAATCGGCCACGACAGGACGCAAGCAACACGGCGACACGGTCACGGGCAATGGTGCTTCTGAGAGAGTGTTGCTCAAGAGATGAGTACCGGGGCCGATCCAGAGCTACGTTAGTCCGGGAGGCAGGAAGCCTCAACAGCACATGCCTTGTTGTTGGCACATCTCCTGCTGCCAAGTCGCTTGTCAAAGTCATGTTTGCGAAGATTCCACCTCAACGACAACGGCTCCCGAGAAATGCTTCCTAGACCAATCCGAGATGCCAGGTTAGACTTTGTCACCTATCACAGGTTCAGCGAATAGACATTCACAACATAATCCATGCTGTGGAGGCTGCTATCCGAGAAGAAGAACTCCTCGCCGTTGACGACAACCTTCAGCTGTCAAAACGTTGTACGCGTGAGGGCGGTCAGAACACACAAGTGGCCAGCCATGCAAAATTATGCTTGACCGTCATTGTCGCCTCTTTCAAAGAATTGTCCTGAGTGGCGCACGGACGTGTGATATGCAGAGGCCAACCCAGGAATGGTAAACAGCCTCGTGCAGAAGACAATGCAAAGAACATGCACGAATACGGCTGCCGTTCATACCCTGAGATCTCGAAGTAGGCCGGTGACTCATCAAGCCGAAATACGTAGCGGTCGGACCGTTCCAAATTTTCAGACTGGTTGCAATGATGTGGCCAACTCCACCTGATTCGTTGCTTCTCCTGTCGTGAGCTCACCGGAAGTCTGGCCATGTAGGCAAGTGCACGGCAAAGAGACTTGCACACTGTCATTTAGATAGAAATCAAGTAAAGGAGTCGACAGCCAATAGCAAATAGGCTAGGCAAATGGGTAGACGGATGGATTGGTAGGTAAGCGGTTAGGTACACGCGCATAGCTCCAAACGATCGACACCTGCACAACATTGCCAGTCTACTACCCGAGCATCATTATATATGAGGTAGGGACTCGCAGTTGCTTGCGGGCAGGACGCATTCGACATAAGTACTAGCACTGTGCAAACAGCACGGATAGTGAATAAACAAAGTTGTCACAGCCAAGCCTTCCGCAAGATCTGCATCTGGTGGTCGAATGTCAGAAAGGTGTGAAGGCCAACATCCGGAAGTTATCTTGGAGCGACAGTACCAGTGTCGGTGCAGGATGGTGCGGGTTCTCTCTTTGGCTTCTGTCAGCTCATTCAAACCTTCTTAAGCTGAATGCACTCATTTGACAGCATTAACCCCTGCACGTGCATCTGCAGTGCATTGCGTGCCGGCGGAAAATACACCGATTTCTCACGGACAGTGTTTTCGCTGACGCCGGACGCATAACGTAAACAGCTACTTCTCGAAAAGACTGCTTGCACAGCATTGACTAGTTCAAGCCTCTAGATTCAAGGAAGAATCTGTTCTGGGCCATGTGTTCTTGCTACGTGGGGCTTTGTTGGGTCCCACTGCGCCTGCTGCAAGCGGAAGTCTCAAAGTGCTGTCCAAACAAGCTGTCATGCTTGCCGTGGCTGAATCTGATTACAAGGATGCAGGCCGACTGTCACCAGTCGGTCTGGCACACTCTCACAAGCAGATACTTGGCCAGCTTGCATTTGCTATTGATGGGTATGTTCGTTTCCGGCCCTCCGGGCGCATTGGTTTCACTAAAAGGCTCCTAAAACTTGGGATGCATTGTCCAGCATGCCAGCGCTCCGAACATCGAACTAGACTCAGCTTTCAGTGGCACATGTTCAACAACCGCGGCAGCAAACGCGAATGGACATATTGAGCAGGCATGTCGGAACATCGTGACAAACCCACACTGAGTCTGGTACGTTCCCCATGGCTAAAAGGGCAGATCAACTCATCTCGGGAAACGGCGTGTGATTCACCACTATCAAGAACATTCATTGTGGACAAGCTTCAACTGCTTCGAGGTGAAATAATAGTCACTGAACTAGTGCCAAATCTTACCTATCAGCAACGACGAATGCGACACGTGTCCTCGCAACATCACCTGTATGTATGCAGATGCCGGTGACTCAGGTCTGGGGTGGCACGGTACGGCAGCGGCAAACACGCCACAGAAGTGTCCCGGGGGCAAAAGCCCCCCGAATTCAAACAAAACAGACGAGAGAGCACTTCTCTCAACGGAGCACAGGAGCGCACTTTTTTCGCCTAAACTGGAGGCAAATCGCCTCAAATATGCGGTGTTGCTTCCCGTTGCTTCCCTGCAGTGGGGCGTGCACTGCAACTGCATGTTGGACTTTGCTTTCACTCCGACTCAACTTGTACGTGATCTCCTTTAGCAAGCCCCGCCCGGATTCATCTCAAGATTTTTGAGACTTTTCCATGCCCTCTCTCCTCAGAGGCGGATGTCTTGTGCAGTCGATGTGTACGATGATTTGCATAGGAGCCTGGTCTCCGGGCTCTGGAGGGCATGCAACTGATTCAACGGACTTGTCCCTGCCAAGCTCAACAGATACGGAGGTCATAACGCTAGCCCCAAGTGGCCACGCAGTCGCCATGCCTTACGCATGCTTCAGCAGAAAGGGCACACCTGTGCCTGGCTAAACGTGAGGTTCACCCGATGCGACGACTGTCCGAAGCCTTTCAGCAAAAACTTTCATACGCTGCTTTCACGGCTTGGCCGTTGCTGCACACATTATCACAACTGACAGCAAGTTCTGCTCGTCAGCTGATCTCAGCAGATGGAGCCGGCAGCAAACTAGAACCGAGTTGTCTGGCAATTTAAGCTGGCTGGGATCTTCGTATCTGCTCAAGCAAGGTTTTGTGGGTTCGAAGGAGTACCAAGCAACCAAGTCTGACAGTGGTGCCTGAGAGTGGTTTTGGGTCTGCTGCAGGCGGTCCCTTTTTCAGGAAACTCACGTCTCGGCATGCGTCGAATTGCAAATCAATTCTAGCAAAGGCTCCTTCCCAAGAGACTCCTGCCTTCACGCATCAAAGCATCCTCCTCAATGCAAGGAGATATTATTCTTCCTGTCGGCTGGGCATCAGAGCTGTGCTCGTGAGTAGGTAGGCGATGGTGACTGCCTGAGTTGTGGCCCATGGAGTTGTCGGCGGGTGGGATGAAGTCTACGCATCTCTTGATCTTGTTTCCCTTCGAAGTCACACAAAAGTAGCACAGCTGCGACTCCGAACTCCAAACTGCTAGCTTGACAGCTGGATCATACTGCGCAACTTGGAAAGGCTACCTTGAAATGTCATCTAAGGCTTGCTAAGTTCGGAGCTGGAGTTCTGCTCGGAGCCTGTTTTCGGGAGTGAAGTTTGATTTACCATCCTGTTTGTGCCCAAGCTTCCTTCCGCTGCCGGACGAAACCCGGGGTGATCTGTCTTCCTGCGCTGTGCACCGTTCCAGTCAACACTTTTGTGATCTTAACGTTTTATTCCGTTGCAGATTGTCTCTAGGCACTAGCTAAGCCCCTCGAATTTATACCACTCTAGTGCAGATGCTTTTTTCTGGAACTTGACTCTTCAGTCGACAACTTGGATAGATTGGAATTTAAACCCTTAGTGTCCATGAACAATGCTGTACGAAGCTTCTCGTGGGCTTACCGTACTTCCTGTGACTCTATGTACTGCAAAGTAGCAAGAAATTAGGCGTTGGTGTCGCTGGACTCTCATCCTCGGCACAGCCAGGCAAGGCAGCAGGATAACTTGCTTTTGAAAAGTATTGGTGCTGGTTTTTATCCAATACCTGAAGTTCGAACACTTTCTGCCGCTCCTCGCCGTCTGTGCCTGTGCCTCGTCGAAGCATGCAGTAGAATGAAACAACCACCGCTCGATCATTGCAACACATATGAGACATGCTAGAAATTGCACACATCTCGCGGTGCAGTCACAGCTGCTTTTGCAGATGTCATCGGCATCATCATACAGAGATGCACGCTGAATATCTCTAAGGCTCTGGCGATTCCTCACACTGAGCCGTTTTGCAGTTGGCATTCGCGGCATGATGTGTGCCTGGGTCTGAAACCGCGGCTGTTGCTTCTCCGGGCCTTGTTTTGGATTTATTGGAATCCTTGGCTTTGCCTTTTCTTGCCCAAGCCACGTACTGGCCGGCTCTGCAGCCTGACCCTTCAAGCTCGATGTGGTCAGACCCCGAAGTCTAAATCTTGCAGTACATACCCACGAAGTATTCACTCAGCAAGGCCATCCCATGAGTCCAAAACACGTGCGAGCACGATCGGCAGCCCAAAGCATGCAGGTCACTGTGAGCAGAAGCACAATTTCGATAGGCGGAAACACACCTGACATCGGTGGGGCCGTGATTTTGGAAGTGGTGGCACGGGTCGCACACACAAATAGGCAAGGCGCTGCGGGAGAGGAAGTGCACGGGACCGTGGTGGGAACACGAGCCGCACACCAAGGAGCGAGTGGCTCTGCCAGGACTTTCGTGACTTCGAGCGATGTGGAGACCCAAATGAATAGGTGGGTGTGTCCGGAGCACGATTCCCACCAAAGAGCAGCCCACAATATGCTGGGCACTGCGGCGGGAGTGCGGTTCATGAAGTTCGGAACCCAGAAGCGCCAAAGCACTGGCAGCTGCGATGATTTCGACAGCAATCGAAACTGTGCACAACACCGAAGCACCGGGCATGCATAGCACGCTCAGCAATCTAGTCTGTTTGCCGTCAACATAAGTATCCCATAGTGCTATCACACTGTTTGGGGAAAGCAGTCCATCTGAGGCCACATCCTGCGCTCGTTTCGCTTTCTCCAGGAGGGCAGGGTTCTTCTCCAGCTCCTCGGTGCACTTCCAAATCACCCCATGCAAACATGCAGCTGTGGTGTGCGCGCCAATAGTTTTCGCAAATGCATGTGCGCTACACAAGACTGGGTCGAATGCAGACTGATTGTGGCTAGTGCGATAAAACAACCCAAGCCTTTTGCTAAGCAAAGCGGCCACTGCACGATTGTAGGTGTCCCTTTTGATGGACAGGATGCGCACCTCACCCAATAACACACTGTCCGGTCGTGCTGCCACTACGCTGTGCTGCTGGATGTCAGCAGGCACGACAGAAACTGAACAACTTTGCCTGCTCTGGCCGTGAGTGTTGCTGATTGGAGAGCGTGTAGAGTAGAGGCCAACACGTAGATGACTTTTCAGTCCGAGGACATCAGCTACAATAGAAAGCCTCCCACTGCCTCACTCATCTCTGTGCATGTCTCACTGCTGCGAAAGCCCCCAATCCCAAGGCCTTGCTGGTGCTGAGGAACGCGTCGAAGTCAGGAGTGAAAAACTCTGATGTCAGTGCGTCCCTGCATCATAGGGGTCGTCTAGAAAAAGCACTGGCCGGTTTGTTTACATGTTCCTGACGCCTTCTTACTCCAACGCCATGCAGCAAACCCACCACGAGCATGCGGCCTCGCGAGCACGGAAAACCTGCAGCTTGCTTAGGTTGCAGTTCTTTGATGAAGCGTGGCAGTCGAAATTGCTGCAAGAAGGCTAAAGTAAGGGTTCGGTCGCTTGCATCTGCGAGTGCCAACTCGTGCAAGCTCAACCTGTCGGGGCGACTTTTCGGACTTTTCAGCTGTGGGACGCTCCATTCTCTGTCTTGAAGGACTCGTGGCCGACAAAAGCTCCGAGTCGTCCTGCAACAGGTCTGAAGGGACACGAGTCACTGGTCACGAGTCTGCCAAGACGAGCATTGACACCCTCATGCCGAATCAGCGCAAACCGCTGGGTCCTTGCAATATGAGGGTGCACCGATCGGTCTCGTGCCCGCGAGTGTAAAGCCTACAGCTCGTGGAAGTCTGGCAAAACACTTGAATGCAACCCGCAGAGCTGGGATGATTGCACGTCTCTTTAGAGCATGTGGCATGTGTCTTTCCAACGAAGCCAGAGTTGTGAGACAAATGGCTGTGTGTTAAGGGGGTCCTTGAAGTGCTTGATATCTAACAGCGTCCCTGGCCAAACAGGCTGACACATGGATGCACTCGTTCGATCCAAGATCCCGGCATGTCGCTCTCAGTGGGGCCCTGCCCTGAGGCTGCATTGCGCCTTAAGTTCATCACCTGCCAGGCCACGTGTGAGTGGTAGTCGAATTATGTGTCGTCTTCAAGAACAATGCAAACACATGCCAGTAGATTTGCTCGATCGTGGCAGGTTGCAAAGAATGGTCGGACATCGAGGTTGGTTCCGGTTGCCAGTGCTAAAGCAGCTGACCAAACGTTCTGCTAAGAAGTTCTCTACACTTCCATTCTCGAACCAGCCGTTCTTGGTCGATACGGTAGCTCGGCGGCATGAAAATCTTCACATTCAGGCGGGGATCAGCAGCTACGCCCGACAAGAATTTTCCGTCCTATCACGCACACTAGAACTCACCGACCAAGCCCAAAGCCATCCTTGTTCGGGAATTCCTGAGCTGACATCCATGAGGCGATGTCTTCGGTTCTGCAATTCGTACTTCCTGCGTCTTGTTCATTTTTCGATTCGTTAGTAGTCTTGCCTGCCAGCAGTGCTGGGAGAAACACAATGGCTTCCGCAAAACGGTACCGCCAGCCAAGGTAGCGCTTTGGTTTCAAGCCCGGCGGCGATTTTTCCTCCTACCTAGATCTGCCTAGCAAGGACAAAGCCCGCCTTGCAGGGTATCTCCGAAGCAACAGTTGAAAACGGCTTCACTGGTGGAAGCCAATTTGGTGATTGACTAGATCTTAGCACACACGAGCATCCAAACTCAAACATCTTGATGGTTTCAGCTTGAATACACGGACTCTTCACGAGACCTCAAACGTTCGTTGGTACCGTGCATTTTTTTGAAAATGCACTTGACTCGCGCTTGGCAGTACAGAATCGCCTCAGAAATCTAAAGTTCTCGGTTAAAGGTGCCGGTCTGAGGCTGAGAGAGTTGCGGCGAATCCTTGCCCTATGCGCCGCATTTTGACACTCATACTCGGACAAGCCTAGCAAGGTCTGCAGTTGTAGGTTCGACGTCTTCGTTAAGTGGCTACATGTGTCACTGGGGTCCTGCCAGGGGATCTAAGAATTCCGGATCCGCGGAATGTGCTGGGTCTCGGCCCGGGTAGCGTCGGAGCCTCAGGCTGACCTATCACGACATCGATGTCTTTGCTCGCAACCGTTCTAACATTTGGCGTCGTGAAACCTATTCGGGGACATGGGCTCCTTCTGGTCTTTTTCCTCGACTGGCAAGGAGAACCCTTTTGCACTTCATGAAAGGCTTCTCAAACACGTGCCACATTGACTGTACCACGACCCGGGAGAAGGGCCTCTGCCTCACCAACAAGCCATGTCACGGTCTCGTACTTGAGTGGGCAGCGGCTACCTGGACTAGCAGACACTCGGGTTTGAGATGAGCTGCAGGACGTGTCTTCCGCCTTCTGTGAAAGCTGTTCGCGTCAAATGTGCGGAGATGGCATTGACCTGCAGGGCTTGCAGCTGTATTCTTGCTCAGGGGATGCGAGATTACGACGTACATGCAGTTGTCCTCAGCAGTCAGCCTCTTCCAAACTCAGCTTGTCGGCTTTGGACCGCCAAATCGGGTTGAACACGCCTGCACATGTATCGCCATGTCACAAGAATTACCCCGCCATGGCACTAAACAGTTTGAAATTAGGCAGTCAGCACATTCTCCGGAATTGGGAAGCATCGGTCTATGGTGATGCATGCAACCACACCACAAGCAATCCGAGTGTGCCTAGGTCGAACTTCCGTTCGTTTCGACCCTGGATCTTCAACTGCCGGTCAACATCGACCTGAACGACTTGAGGCTGCATGTCATGAGTGCTGCATACACGAACTCTGAAACATCTCGGAAGGCTCAGCACAAGCTTCGCTGCAACTGAGAATGGAATCATCCGTGCGAGGAGTCTGAGAGGTGATGCATAGACGTCGGTCTCGTCCACGATTTCTTCCTGAATGATCTCTTCTACGATGTCTTCCAAGGTCAGCACCTGAGTCAGACTAGAGATACTAGGATAGTACAGTGCTGCAGTGATGATGGGCCATGATTCCGATCCCTCGAGCACTCTTTTTCACTCTATCGAAGCCACATCTGCGATTCTCTTGTTCAGAGCATCTAGGGCTTGAAGCTGGCCCTCCACCAGCTTCACGTCTTCGCAGGTGTCGTTGTCCTCCTGTTCACAACTGGTGCAATTCAACATTCGTGTACGGTCGCCTAGTCTTGCATGTGCGCCAGTCCAAGGGCTTGAAACCCACTCATTCCAATCACGATCCGATGATCAAGGCTTCTGTCTAGAACCCGGACTCGTTGCCCATTTCAACCGCATATCGGTCCAGCCACTGCAGAGCTCGACTTGCCAGTTCCTTGGACGATTCAGATGTTCTCCCAGTGTTCTCCATGAGATTGCTCGTACGGCTCATCGGGGTTCAGAGTTGGGTTCGACATTTATGCAGGGTGCAAGCTGGTTATTTACATGATCCTGTAAGCGGGCTCCCCCTGATCCCCATGGTATCCACCCTTCCCTGCCTTCCCACGGCTGTTTGTGACCGCAGTCACAGAAATCAAGCCCCGTTGGGCACGATATCCTCGTAACACTTGCCGTTTTGGAGGATGGGATCATCGCCGGGATGTCAAAGATGCCAACAGTCGCTGTGATTAGACCTGTTGATGTGGCTTCGAGTTTTCGACATGCATGGCACCTTCGCAGGTCAAACATGGCCACCGTGGCCGCCCAGAAAGCCCTAATCCGCATATTGTCGTTGTTCTCGTGAAGCAGAGTACGCATACAGTTGGCACCAAACCAGAACCAAACATCCAACCCAAAGGGATGGGAGGAGACAAAAAACGTGCGACACTAGGAACCCAAACGAGACCACAAACACCACACCTTGGGGTAGGCATGGGGGTGGCGGGGCAGGCTCTGGATCATACGTGGCCGCTCATGGCATGATCTTGTGCTAAGTGGGGGCTCTTGCATCCGCACCGTGCGATGACAGCAAGTGGCCTGGTTCCCGAAAGTACCGAAGCATCACTGACGACACCGCATCAGTCAGTGTCAACCACGATGCCATGGCTACTGCCGCCCCATACCAATTCCACCACAGAAGGATGACTCGAAAAATTAGCTTGTCGTCTTTGCACGGTCACAATGAGCCCTTACCCCTCCTTCATTGCGCAGGTCTCTTAGTGGCCGAGCGTCTACATGTTCAGTCTCGTGCAAGTCTTCGAGCAGACGTGTGCACTGATTGAACAGCTTGCTCTTGGCCGTGGTGGAAGCTGTCTGCCGCCAACCTTGGCTGACCAAGCGGGTACAACGACGCAATATTGGCAAGCACGACGAGACAGAAACACTTTGGGCTTTGACATTGCCAAGCTGCTTTGCTCGGCTTGCGCGATCATGTGCTCGATCTCTGTGCAGCTCCACCGATGTCGATCATCTACCACCAAGTCGGCAGACTTTCCAGAACTAAGACCAACAGCTTTAACACGCAGAATGCCGTTTGCATCGATATCCAGGGTGATGTCTACAGCGCTATCTGCAGTCAAGCCGTCGAGCTCAAGCTCTCCCAGCACATGGTTTTGAGAGGCCAGGGAAGCCTCGCCTTCTAGCAGCTGAATTGCAACATTGCTAGAACGCACTGCGAATCTCCTCGATGTTTTTGTTGGATATACGCTGTTCCTCTCGATCAGCCTGGTCATCTTGATGTCTCGCTGCTCTTTGATGGTCAGGACTTGATAGTTCGCCAGGCTCATGTGGGGTTGAACTTGCAGATCGTGGAGGAAGCAAGTTGCGCTATTCCATCCCAATCGAGAGCTGATAGAATCCTCACGAGCTTCTGTCATCAAAGGATCATGCTTGAAGCCAAGCAGACACAGTACACACGGACTGTTCGATGCCCATAATTAAACATTGTTGATCCGGAAGTCTTCGCATCTTTCTATGAGCAGAACTCCCATGAGCAACACAAACCTCACATATCCCAGCCAGAGGCTGTCCCCAATATGCATTCGTCGAGCGAAATCCGAACGGAAAAGAGGAGGAACACGTGGCAACCAACATAAGCCAAGCATGCTAGTGTACAAGCTCCGAGAAACGCTGAGAAGCACTGTCATATGCGCACAGGGCGAATGTATTGCTTTCGTCTGAAGCAGCTGTAGTATGCTGAGATGCATCGTCTCCTCATCGAGGTTCAGATCGAAACTTGGGCGACGCAGACCTACATTGAACTTCGGATCGAACTCCATTACTGCTGATGCCAGTGCTATGTCAAGTCCTTTGAGTCGGCATGTTCCGTCGAAGTTGTTCGGCTTTCCTTTTTCGCAAATGACCTTTGGACTTCCAGCTGCTCGAATGCAACATTGTTTTTCATTAATGTTCGTGTGTTGCCTAGAACAGTGCTGTTCCATTGAAGGGGTTGTTATCGTTCCATTCCATTCTTACCGTTTTCACAAACATAACTTCAACATAGTCACAAGCAGCATGGGAGGTACTTGCCGAAGCTTCACGGCGAGACAGGGTGCGGGCTTTTTCTACGATCGCATTGTGCTTGCTTCCAAGCTTCGACGAGCATGGCGGCAGTGCTCTCCGCAGCCAGCGTGAGTTCCAGGACCAAGGCTCCACCCAAAGTGCCTGAATCGTCTCATGTCGTCCCTAAGCTAGCAACAACCGCTCGGTCACCTGCTTCATCTCACTTTGCATTCAATGCGCATGGACATTCGATATCCATCTGAGGACGCCAATCCACATGACTTCTTGCCACTGCACCGCCGCTGCTGCAAGCCATCTCACACTGCACTCTTCAGCACAACAAATTCTAGTTGGACCGTCGAACCTGTTTGACGAGCCACCGGCTTCTACAAGCAAGTTCCCCTCGGCTTGTGAGATGTTGGCCTGAAGGAGGGAGCAACCAAACCAGTCTTAGATGCGTCTGCCATATGCCCATGGATGCGGCAACTTGGTAGCAGTGTGCAAAACTTAGACGTGGTCGCGCACGGAGTGCAGCGCAACTTGCCCCTGCACTTGGCTACTAAAGGTGAGTTCCACGGCTTATGCCGACACTAACATATGTTGGCAACATATGTACTCCATATAACGAGCTTCTCCGTGCCTTCCGCTGCTGTTCTGCTTCAAACAGCGAATCCTTCTCTCCTATTGTGCAATCGAAAAAGTTGGTGAATTTCTGAGAAAACAGACGTCGCATGAGGATTCGACGAGGTGATGCCAAAATACTAGCTTCTTTTTCCCAAGGTATGTATGTCGACAGAATGTCCAACCTCCAAGGGTAAAAGTACCCATTTCAAGCACAAACAACTTTTGGCCCCGAAGTTCAGCAATCTTTCGGCCTGCAACACCCGCGCTGGAAGTGTTTCGCCGGACTCCAGGAGACGAAAGCCCTCCGAAGTTGCCTCGCTGCGATTTCCATTCCGACTTCAACGCCACAAAGAGTTTGCAGCGAGCTCCCGCGTACTTGCGAGTGGTCACGCTCAAGTTGCTTAAGTATCTCATGCTCGTAGGTCTGAAATGCAGGCCGGGCACAATGCCCACAGAAAGCGCCGTGACATCGAACAAGCACCTGGTCGAATGCCACAGCGGGCGTTCCGAAAGACTTATGCACAACAGCGTTCACTCAGCACAAGCACTATGTGGCCACAGCACATGAGGATATCATCATTTCTTGGAGCCGCCGCCAGAGTCGAGCGAATGGTTGTCCGCACCAACCGCCTGCGTTTCACACGGCGCATGCCCGCGTATGCAAAGCAAGCTTGGAGCCTGTCCAGTGGCCTTGACTCATTGAGCTTCAGTTGCATTTCAAAGCCTTGCTGAAGATTAGCAGGATCTGGAAGAGTCCTAACCGTCTTGTTCCGCTCCTCGGCCTACATGTTTTCCTGCTCGTCATCGTTTCCTTGAAGAGTCCGGAGGCACCTCGCAGCTTGCGCCTCTTCGGTAAGTCCGCGATTGAGGGCCAGCTTCGTTGCACACCGGATGGTGTCAAAGCCTCAGATGGGGTCCTACATGAAACGAAGCTGGATGAAGAACGAAACTGAAATAACGGCCAACAGTGAGATTAAGTCTTGGCCGTGCATCTCGTGCTTGGTGCCTGAACATGGATCTTCAGCTCTGCCAAGTTCGAGACAAAGGTCCCAGTCCTCTCAACGAGCTACAAGTCGCCCTGATGTGCATGTAATTTACTGGACTGTCGGCAAAGAACTGTTCAGGCAAGGTAACCTTGAAACTCACCGGGTCTTCTCTGCTGAGTCTTACATCGTCAAACCTCTCCCAGTGCCTCTGTGCTCTCGTGCTGTGCACAGTCTTAACCCAACAGCTCTATCATTTTTGATGTACGCATGACAAAACGCCGTTGCTGAATGGCCTCCCCGATCTGCGCGCTTTTTCTAGCTCATCTCCCAAAACACCCAAAGCGCTCCGGATTCCATCCTTGGTTTGATGTCTGGCAGATCTCCGTGTTGGGGGCGTTTGGCATGTATTGCTGGCACATGGTGTCGCGCACATGCACGGGTAATTGCAATAAGACATAGCAAGTGCTTTGCCAACATGTGCGATCCGAAGGCTCGGAGAGCACATCGTGCGTCTTGCTAGCATACGTTCACTTTCGAAGTGATATGGCTGCTGGCTTTCTGAAGCGATAAACAGGAATCCTGGCCCAAACTTGAAAGCTGGTACAAACTGGGTACAAAGTAGCTAAACAAGTAAACAATAAGGTCACCGGCCCGGGTCTTTAGAACAGTTTTCTATCCCGATTCTTGGCTATCTTCTGCCTCTGCCTAATTCCTGAAAAAACAAAGCCTTTGGCTGGTCTGGCAGCCGCAGTTCGTAGCTGCAGTTCTGCTAGCAATATGCAGTCACCGAAGAAAGAAATGACAAAAGGAAAGCATCCCCAAGCATTTTCCAGGTTAAGAATTGCCCCAGCCGAGACTCTAAGCCAGACACGAGCCACAGGGTGGTGCTGCTGCAATCACTTCCTGGGATACTCGGAAGCTTCTGGTCAATGTGGGCACGAATGCCCGGGTTTCATCTCCCGACCTCCTTACCCTTGTAGGGCTTAGGGCCTGTGATCGAGCTTGTGGCCCCTATCCCGCAAGCTTGCGATTGAGCTGGGTAATTACTCGGCTTCGTGCGTCGTGGCTGAAGACTTTCTGCCTAGCTCTTGTCCGACATCTTTTTATGCTTGTTTCTCCCCGGTCATGCCCCCACATCTCTATCGAAGAATAGGCTGGAAACTTGTAGGGATCGTCGGCGCGTGCACAACGCCCTCTTTCCGACTCGCACATCCCAGCTGAAACGCTGCCCTGGCAGTTGAGTGGCTGCACAGTTTCAACCTCAGAAATTTGCGAATCTAGCTGGAACCTACCTGTGCTTGGCAGCACATCTATCCTCTGCGATATCCAATCCACTAGAACTCGCAGCAGCTCCCGAGACGATTGGTCATGACTCGTTTGCGGTGCCAGAATGATTCAGGTATTGTTGAATCTGCTTTTGTTGTCTGCTTTCCAGAGCAGCTCCAACTGTGGCAAGGTGCACATTCTCCCTTCATATCGCGCTAGTCCCAGAGTCCCAAGCTGGCCGTGTTCACGGGGGAGAGACAAGCTTTATTGACAACCGTCACTTTGGCTTGTGTTGTCTTCAAAATGCCTTTTTCAGCATGGGCTCTCACAGTCTTCTCGTTTCACGAGCGATGCCCTAAATTTCCAACATCCTAGCAAGCCCAAAATGTTCGGCTGTCAGGCCGTCGTTGTGATTGTCCTTCTCGTTGTACTGGCGGCGATGGCGGCGGCAACAGCAGCAGTTGCAATAGCAGTAGCAGTAGAAGCAGCAGCTGCAGGAGGAGGAGTAGTAGTAGTAGTAAGTAGCACTCACATGGCACGCCTCTGACCGCTCTGCACGGACATTTTTTGTTTTCTCTGGAAGGTCACAGCACATCTGGTGGGACAGGTTTGGTGGCTTTACACTGTACATGAGCCGGGAATACTGAGAAACACCGCTACTCATTGCCGGGGCCCCGATACAGTACTACTCCTAAACAATGGTCTAGCTGCTTCGGTCACGATATTGAAAGCCAATGCACAATCTGGCTCACGAGGAGCGTAAACGACAGCGTGCGGCCAAGGCCGGCCAAATCAACTTCCTCGCACCAGTCGGTATGAGGAGTTTCCAGTGCCACCGTGCATCCGGCTGACGAGCATGTGATGGTTGTTGACGTGCGCGAGGTGTTAACGAACATGGCATCGCTGAGGAACTGCGTCGATGAACTGCCACACTCGATCTTCATTCGCCCAACTGACCACGGGTTGTTCGCGCCGCCTTGAGTCAGCTTGATGCGGCTGATTTGGGTCACAAAGGGCGTGTTCAGCAGAATGCCTGATGATCCGATCTTGGAATCATTCCAGCAGGCGCAGCCTGCACCGATGTCGCGGGCGCCGGCGAAGTAAGAACCTGTGTCGCCATCCACTGCGTTCGAGGCGGGCTCGGAGAATCTGTCACTGTAGGGTGCAGACGCCGATAAGATCACCTTGCTTCCCAGAATGTCCCACATTTCCACCTCATGGAGGTCCCAGGAAGAGTAGCAATGGACGCGGGGGATGGGCCCTGCGATCGTGATCCTGTAGTACTGGTGGCCATCGTAGGGGTTGCAGCCCGACTGAAAGCCTTCAACCGTCGTCGTGGAGGTTCTGGTGGTGGTCGTGATAATGGGGCCATCGCCTTTGGCGAGGCCCAGCGCCGCCAGCAGAAGACGCCCAACAAGCCCAGGTCGTCCGGCCATGGCGACAGGCAGAAGGCTTTGGGTCACCGTCGTAGTAGTAGTAGGAGTAGTAGTAGTAGTGTGGTAGCGGTAGTAGTGGTACCAGCAGTACTAGTAGTAACTAGTAGTAAGGTGGAAGACCAGAGGAGCGAAGCAGAAAAGCAGAGAAGCATGAAAGCAGAACAAAGAAGCGGAGAAGCAGAAACACAAACAAGCAACAACAACAACAAACACAGACAAGCAGAAGACAGAACGGGAACACGAAATCAAAGCGTAGAGAACCTATAAAAAACAGAAACAAAATCCAATTATAGCAAAACACGGTGTTTGAAGGTACCTCAAAGAGCCCTTGAGCCGACGAGTTCAGGAATCTGAAGGGTAGACCGGCAACCCGAAAGCCACCTGAAGGAAACTGACTTGCAAATAGCAGGAATAATGTTGCACGAAGTGTGCAGATTTGCAGCTCCATCGGAAAGATTGAGGAACTGCATGACAAACTGGAGACCAAGTGTCGCGGCAAGCAGGTGATCACATTCTGGAAAACGGCATCATCTGCATCCAAGCCGACCACAGCCACATCACGCAGAGTTTCGGAGTTCAGACTCAGAAGACGCATGCCGAGGTGCTCCACATCGGCTCTGTTACTCGGAAACTCGGGCCGGTACAAGCGCAAGGAAGAAAGGTTCGGAAAGAGGGGTATAAAGACCTGGTGTGGATCAACATCCTCAAGGCTAAGCTCCAGCGTCTCCACCGAACTTGCACTTGATTCGAAGAATTCGCGGTTCTTTCTCAACGCCGCCAGAAGTCGGGGCAGCTTGCCGTGTAGGTCCAACTGTACCAGTGCGACTTCTCTGGGGCCATCCTGCCTTGTTTCCAAAAACTGCACAAGGATGTCCATGACTTCCACCGGCATGTTAGCCTCCCAGTCGGTGACAATCAAACTGATTTCATCGAAACGACCAGTCTTCCGACCGCCAATGCCTAGATCTTCAGCCAAATGTTGCACGTGCGATTTCAGCAGGTCTTTGTTTGAAATCTGGTTCAGCAGCTTCGCATCCGCAGAGACCGTGCGCTTCAGCGTCTTCCGAATGGTTGCTTGTAGCCTCCAGGCCAAGAAACCCCCCGTTCTATGCAATATAAGTTCAAGAAACAGTGGAACCACCAGTCGGAATTTCCCGCTAAGTGCCGTGTTGTGGTACTGCCCTGGATCTCTGCAAGGCGTCTGGGGGACAGCAGCCGGCCGCAGTCTGTCCAAAGGTCAATCCGCCACCTTTTCACGTGGGGAGGAAATTCATTATCAGAATTATCAGCTGCAGTTGCTGCTGTACGCAAGTTCTGTCTCCATTCACACACCGGTTGCTGCCGCAGGGCGCAGGCACATCGGTAGCTTTGCTCACGTGCAACTTCAGCTGTGAGGTATTCGGCGCCGTCGCTCCTTCGCCACCAATCCTAAGTAGCAGGCAGTAAAACCCTCTGTGTCTCGGCTGTGACAAAACTATGGAAGCCCAGACATAAGCTCAGACCATGCAGCACCCACTATTATCAGCTTATCACATTGACTTTCCTGTCAGGCTGCGCCACCACTTTCGGCACTGAAGGCCGGCCCAGAACAGTGGGCAGCACCACTTGTATGTCCATGGGCCGCTGTGCAGCCAGCAATTGATCCTGTAAGGCCGTTAACCTGGAAGCCCTCCGCCTCCCAACCACCCAACATCTGAAGGTTAACATCCTTTCTCACCTCAGATCCCTCAGCCTTCGGTTTGATCACCACATGTTGCGCCCGAAAACGAGCATCTTCCGTGTGATTGTTCTGCTACCCTTGAACGACACGGCACAAGGCGGGCACATCGGGCACAAGGTGTGAACTCATGAGAACTTGAGACATGGACTCACCAAAGCAGTGACTGGAGCACCTCGGTGATCTCCAGGGCCCTGGCACCGACGATCTCAAAGTACGGGTCCGTATCCACGGTTGTGACTGCCTGTAAACTGGCGGTTGCTTTCTAGGCATCAGGAGAAAGTAATTAGACCGCGCAACAGCCGTGCTTTGACGAAAGCCGGGGCAGAAAGGTGCACATGTCCAGGCGCTCAAAAAAATGTGACATCGTCTGTTGACGATGCTTAACGAAAGGAGGATAACGGGGCCCCAACGTGACGGCCACCGTAGGCAGATTGCCTTCGAGACTCGATGCCACTGGAACCGCCTTGTTGCGTAGAGCCAGCACATCCTGTCGTTCCTGAACACACAACTTACACGGACGCATCAGTCTCAGACTGAGATGCTTGGAAGACCTTGGATACGGCACCATGTTGCTCACGCATTTCACCCCCTCCAGCCCCTCTACACCCATTTGCTGCGGAAAATAGTGCGCCAACTTGTTCGACTCGTCGTTCCTCTGCGGAACCTGGTGCATTTTCCAAGGCGAGGTCGCCTGTACCGGGAATGGAGCAGCAGTCGGTCAAAATGATGGTACATTGAAGCCTCTCACGGTGCTTCCTGACATAAGTTTCTCGTTGATGCGACAAGAGTATAGACATTCGAGTTGCCGGTGGTTGGGAAACCACCCGGGCTATCAGAAATTCTAAAAAATAATTAGGGCTGCGCAGGCCTGCAAGGCCTGCCCAGCTGTGCCGGAGAATTTCAGGTATGGAAATGTGCATTGTTCGTCTGGACGTTCAAACGCCAGTATTGAAAAGTTCTCTGTGAAATTAGTTCGATCTCGCAACGCCACATTACGATGTGCTCGCGCTCGCGCACAGGGCTCTGCATAAGGGCACTGTCTCGACCAGCATGCAAGTCAACGTTCTCCAACCGAAGATGGTAAGCTGTCGTTAATAAAGACACGATGTGCTTAAGAGAACCCCTGTTAGCACAACGAGCATCGTAACGAGACGGGGCAATGTGGCTCGTGCTTTAAATTTAATTTGACACGGAGATACATAGAGGGTTGCATCTGGTGCGCCCGAAAGAGCTTGCATCTCGCTCTGGCACAGTGCACACTAGATAGAACTGACAATTCGTAACTGAACGAATGCGTATGCTGAAGAAACAGGCTGGCAAGGTAATTGCAAACTCTTCGGGGCTTCGTCGGCATTGTGCATCTATCCGCACTTGGAGACTCGTCACACATCATGAGTACGGCGACTCTGAGACTGACAGTCAGCTTCCAAGCCGGTGCGATAGTGACAAACAGAAACGGAGATGTGGCTCACACGGCCAAAACAATCCGAACAAAATACAATTCAATACAATCAATAGAACGACTCGATGCTACGGGTGAAAGCCTTTCGTGCTTTACAGCCTGCTTCTTCTCTCAGACTCACCCTATCGTCACAAAAGAATTCGGGACAGCACGCTGACGAAGCCAGAGACAAGGGATCCCAACCTTGCTGGCCAAATGCGGAAACGGTTCGCTTGCGAGCAGTAGGGCAGTGAGACTGGCAGCGAACCCAACTGCAGTCTCGTTGTCATTACTTGCTCTGGGCTATGCATGCCTGAGTTTACTATGGAGCGTATGTTTCCTGCATTGTAGCTAAGTCACACAATGAATTGCTTCAGGAAGATTTCCTGGGTTAGTTTCACGTCGTGGATAAAGAAGCCGGCGGAGCTGTCCTCTCAGCAACGTGCTACAGCCAAACTGGCATCAAGCTCGGTCTCAGGCCAACAAAATGCTTCTGCAACTGCAAACGAGTAGCTGTAATGTACCTCACCAAATACTGACGGTCGAAATCGTTCGGTAAGTCGGATTGGAGTTGATTGACGAAAGCTGGTATGGCACGACATTTCCTTACAAGCAGGTTGTCTCGCAAACAGCTTCACTGTGGCAAGGAAATGTAAGGGGTTTACTGAGGCATTGGATCCGCCAAGAAACTCTGTCAAAGCAGCCCCATGAGCACACACACGCATGTTCAGAACGAAGAGAAAGGGCAGCGGCACCGACGCGAGGATTTCAGCAAGTAGTGCCACAGGTTCGAAGTCGGTGCGAAATGCAAAGCTTACTGATCCACCAAGAAAGAAGGCGAAGCCAAGTGCTCCCACGGCTTGCAACGCCACAAAGCTGCCGGCAAGCTCTCGTCCAACGCACTTCAGTAGTGCTTGCATTGCATTCCAGCTGCTCACACCCTCGATGAAGTCTGGGCAATCGACTATCTGCCCGCACCAGCAGTCCAAGACTTTGTCTAGCCCCAGGAGGAGATGAGACTGCACGTAAGTGATCACCATGAAGACGGCACTGGACACTGCAAAGCAAATCAAGAGCAAGATCTGTACAGCGTACACCGACCAGATCCAGGCCTAGGCTTGCCGTCAAGAAAATTGATTCAGGTACGAGCAACGACGATTGGAGACGTTCTTTCCTAAGGAAGAGTGACCGATGCAGAATCAGAACGTGCCATCTCAAGCCAGCGGGCCGGCTCCTCAGCGTAAAGTTGCGTGGCCCTCTTTTGGCCCATCCAGATTTCCAAGCTGTAGTGAACCACTCCACACAGGACTAGGCAAAGCCACGCCACAACATACCTGCACTTGCCACCACTGTAGATTCAGAGTGAGAGAGTGCTTTCATTGACAGGTCAGAGCCTGCTGACTTGAAAGGGGCTACTAAGGTTCGCATGGCTGGAGTCGACCAAGATGCCTGGTACGTAGCTTACAGACTTAGAGGTCCTTTCGAGGGCCAAGGTTCTTGATCTATGCTGGCAGAAGCACGCGTAGGCATGTCTTCCTACCCTGAGATAAGCGTTCGCTGTTTCAATGAATGGGCTCGGGTAAGACCAGCACACATGACATGTGCACGTGGATGGGGCATGAGAACGTTCTGCATGTCCGCTCAAATCGTCAGCTGTGATCTCGGCTGAACTGTGCAAAGGCCGTGGTTTCACGGCGGCCTCTAATGGTTGGGCTCTGAGCAAGTCGGGCGATTGATGCTTTTTTGCTGATAGTCCTTCAAAATAATGCGTGCAGCCGTGCCTGACTACATTCGCAATAAGGCAGTGTGCTCTTGCAGCCGTTGCTTCTGATTCGCCTGCACAAGCCACCGGTTGACCTTGAAGCTTTACGCCTAGAGTTTTTAAAACTCAGTCATGGCATTCGTGAACAGTTGATAGCTAGCAACAGCAGCAAGCAGCTGTTGGCCGATTGCACCATGTCTCCCCAATGCCGCATATCTGCAAATAATTTAGAAACATTTAGAATTAACTGGCGGCCACAAAAACCTTCGGTGGAGGCTCAAGAGTCTGGAAAAGCTTGAATGGTACATCTGATGCATGCCATTGCGCTGAATTTGGCCGTGAACGCTCCCTACGAGACGACGGAATTTGCAATTGAGCCACTTTCGCCATTCCTGGCCACTGACCTCGCTCCAGTGCAGTTTGAAGTCGGCCACGAACATGTGTAGCCGATCCACTGCCAGGTTCCTGAAGTGTCGGGTGATTTCTTCAGGAAGGGCATGGCTCTGTCGGGACTAACATGTGCCGGCTGGGTCGAACTCTGCTGTCGAGGTTCAGGTCTTCTGATAGCAGGGCTCTCCGCAAGCGGGCGACGCAAAAAGTTGATACCAAACCATAGAGCATGCCTGAGCGAGAGGAGCAAGGCCAAGGCCAGCAAAACCAACACCCCACATTGGACATGTACCTCCACAACGTCAACTTGATCCGTGTGGCTAGACGCCAGTCTGAAGCTCAAAGCCTGGGAGGTGTTGAGCTCCTCTTTGAAGGTCTTCCTTGCGCTGAGGCCGGGAATCAAGGCTGCGCTGCAAAGGGTATGAGACGCACGGCCGACAGCTGATGTTGACAGGTCCTATCAACATTTATCAACGGGGCACATGCTTTGCGACTACTCATCTTTTCACCTGAGTGCCGAGCAAGAATATCAGGATTGCAGACAACACGAAGACGGGTATACCTCAACTGCAAAGGAATCGTTGATTGTTCGTGAACAGCTGCATGAGAAGCCAGCTTTTCAGCCAGTGCGCCGGAACTATATTGCATGCTGAAGGTCTCCCACAGGCCATCATCCATACATGGTATAGAATAAAATGTAGTCGAAGCTTCGAAATTTTAGGCTCTCTCACAACACAACATTGACAAGCCAGGTCAGGTCTCACGGTTGGCATCGGATGCTTCAATAATACCAGTACAAGGCCGGCGAAGGCTGTCGGGTTTAGAGGCATGATAGATTCCAAACGTATCTGAGCTCCCGCTTGCACGGCCGGAGGTCCAAAAGGACGAGAGAACTGCAAATTGACTGGAAAGCAGGGGGAGTTGAGAACGGCGGAAACAACAGCAGTATCGGCGGTGACGGCGGCACAGTAGCAACCAACTCAAAGCAAAGTCAAGCCGGGAACCCACAAACCGAGCCGTTGTCTAGGCAGTACGATCCAGAGAAAAAAGACTGTGTAATGTCGCAACGCTCGGCGCCGAAGCCTTCGCCAGTGCAACCCCGTCCAAGCAGCATCACCCCGCGAACGCTCGGTGCCCACAGCCTCCCCAGGCGCCGTTCCCTTCCACGGCAGTGTCGCCTTGCACCCTGCGAACGCGCGGTTCCAACATGCCCACGCAGCCCCGTCCCCGTCCATGGCAGCGTCGCTGCGAAGTTCAGCGTGCACATCCTTCCCCGGCCCCGTCCCCCTCTCCGTAAAATCAATACAGATTTCCATACGTTACAGCACCTGCCAAGAATCACTGAAATGTATCAATCTTTTGATTGCTTTCACCCGCCTGTCCAGCCTTTTTGAACATATCGAAAATTGTAATCGTTCTGATCCCAGGTGCCGGCCGCCCAGAAAAGGCAACCTGGTATGGCTAGGAGCAGCCTGGAACCCAGGTCGAGCTCGACGGGGTCTGGCTCCTCTCAGCATTCGGACGGTCTATGACGACATGATGATAGTGATGATGATGATGATGATTGCACGGTGCTGTCCGAAAACACTGGTCTGTCAAGCACTAATCTATTCGATGGCTGGTCCTGGTAGCTGAGGTGTGTCGCGGTATGCGAATCCAGGATACACGCTTGTGACTCTTGGTTCATGACGACAAGAGTTGAGCCAGCATGTCGATATCGAGGGCGCTTCTGCGCAGACTGTGGCAGAACTGCTTTCGGCAGTACATCTGCGTCGTCAACATCGGAGTTCACAAGTCCAGGTACTGGGGATTCTGGTGGTTCTGGCAGTGCCAACTCGTCGTTCTTTTCTGGTGCTATCGGCAGAAACTTGACAGTCTGTTCCGCAGGAGCGACCTGACTTCTGCGGCGTTCAGATCGGATTTCGCAAACCTCCTGCAGAAAAGCGCTCTCCAACTCCACCAGGCTCTGTATGGAGGCGACGGGTCGACGTGGCTTCGCTCGAACCCCGGGTGAGCTTGGGTCCTTTGGTGAGGTTGGTCTGTGTTGCGAAGGCCTCCGCGTCACGGCCAGGGCCTCAACGGAATCAGCAATTCGCTCTAAATGAGCGAGAATTGTGCGTGTAGCCTCGTCTTGACCAAGGTGTTCTGCAAGTTTGGCGTCCAGGAGCCTTTCAAGCCTGCTCTCAAAAATATCTCCCGTGGTGCTCATGCCGCCTGTAAAACTTGCCGTCCCGCCAAAACTGCTCCCTGCGAAACTGGCTGTCGATTCCTCTTGCATGCCGCCACTTTCCCCCCTCACATCAGGCACGAAGCCACGTAGCTTGAGCCATCTGGCAACAATGTTCCAGACCCTTTAAGCATCAGGCCACGTAACAAGGGACAGTCAGTCAACGTCCTGGCAATTCATGACCTTGACCGGTGCCTTGCGCACCAGTGCCATGTGCGTGCCACCCTTCTTGAAGGCATTCAAACATGCCACCAATTTCGTCTCCTTCCGGCTCGCGGGTTATGAACAGCTCCCGAGACCCGGATTCTGAAGAGTGAAGAGCAGAGGCCCTTCCAACACTCTCTGAACAGTTGCCTTACGAACAAAACGTGGCGCATTCTCCATCTCTGTGTGATTATGTTTACAGGGTGACGGCAAGTTCTCAACTTAGTTATATTCCAAAGGCCAAGTACGCGGACTCGCACGTTGTCCTCGAAGACGGTCTCTACCTCAATTGAGCTGAATACTCATCGCTCAGCGAGCGAATCTAATCAGCTGGAGCTTGAAGGGGCGTTGCGATGTGTTGCAATCAGCACTTCCCCGTTCCCGGCCACACCTTCCTCCCGAAGATCTGAATGAAGTCACCCACCTGATTCAAGCCCGAAATACAAACATCGAGCATCATCAACCGGCAAACACAGGCGTCAGGCTGCGCAGATTTCAGCGTCGCTGCTTTGACTTTCCACTCGCTTCATCTCTTCAGACTGTGGTCACATTTGATTACCAAAGTTGTAACATGTTGTCACTCTCGGCATACCTTCATCTCATCTTCAGGGTCGGCGAGCATCAAGTCCTGAAAGGCCATGAAGGCTTACTTTCCCATTACTGGCGGCAAGTTGAAGCGTCCTTCGTGTAAAGAAGTCCCCGATACTCATGCTTATCTCTGCCGTAGATTGGAATTCGACCTTGGAAGTTCGCAGGGATGCTCAGAACATGAGTCGCTGTCTTCGCGTGAATCTGGAACTCATTGAGCTGAGAAGCTAAATCCGGTCTCAAAGATCTCCCGAATTGCGTCGTATCCAAGCTTCGTGTCGCTGTTGAGGAAGTAAGCCTCACTTCCGAACCGCCCAATCGGAGCTTTGTCCTGCTGTGTTGTATTGAACCCAGGGACATAAAATCCTCGCATACACGAACATCAAACCCTCGCATGTTGCATGGCTCCTGGAAAGTGAAGCCTCATGTCACTGTCTCTGTTTGACCTCTGGGCGATGCCTGCATGCTTCTACGCACGTCCTTCGGACCGGCCACGTGGCTTTGCTTCACTCGAGTGTCGGATGCCGACATTGCATGGTTCAGCTCGTCATCGTGAACCCAAGAAGTTGCAAGGGCTGAGTCGTGGACATCCTCAAGAGGTGTCATTATGTCGCCAACCTGCCACGAAGGATGAACTTGAGTCGGATGTCGGCCCAAGTTGGGTCGCGAACTGCAGGGCTTTGTGTAAGGAGTTTGCTTTCACAAATGTCGAAGACGGACGCTTCAAATCGGGCATTCAATCGCAGCATACCGCTTGTGTTATGGCTGGTCTGTCAGTTGGCCTCAATACGAGCCTGACATAGCAGCCATCTACATGCAATGGTGATGGAGGCATGTTGATTTTCCCACCTAAACCGCCAAATGAACCGAGTGAAAGCTCGAAGCACCCAAATTTCGGACAAAGTCAATCATGGCACATGATCCCGGCACCTGTTTGTCACGAAAGCTGAGAGCACCTTCAGCGACCTTTCAGTTCAAGACAACGCAATGAGTCTAGCCCACGCGGCAGTTCTTTCCTGTTTGGCAATGCTTAGAGCTTAGAGCTGCTGAATGCAATCACAATCGCACGTTGCACAACAGGTCAGCCGGTGTTCTTCATGCCCACGACAAGCGGAACGACGCTGCCCCAACAAGGAAGCATTTCTGAAGAACCAGCAACAACATACAGTAGCAGCAAAAGCGATCTTCATGCATCTGCAGTCGCTTCAACAAAAAAGTTTCTTCAGGCCTGCTGTGCAATCTTGCCCTCCTCAGCATCCACAGCACCGAGGGAGATCTGCAGCTTCAACATCTCCATAAGCTCCTCAGACAAGAGGTCATAACAACAATCATCTGCAGTGTCAGATCTGCAGCCCCATTAACAGCAAATGTCGCCGAAGGTTGCAGCAAAACCAAGGTGTTTCAACTTATGGCTGTACGCAGGTAATTTCGCCGCGGCTGGCGTAATGCTTCAACAACCGTCGGGAACATGGCCAGAACACTTTCTTGGAGTTCAGCGAAAAACACGCCGTGTGTGGATCATGGTTGGGTGATGTTGGATGTTACAGCTGAGTTGGCAAAGGAAGGGATGCCACGTATTCACAGGCTCAAACATTAGCTGGTGGCTCTGGAGGAAGCTTTGCAGCTGTGCCACCGTCCGGCTGTGGATAGTGCCAACCTGCAAGCATCTTGGCGGGAAGAGTTGCCGTCTTCTTGATCTATTGTTGTGCCATGCTCTGGCGAGGGTTCACTTGCATTGCCAACCCATGTGGGCCTCTTGACCCAGCAGCCAATCTAGAGCTATACTCATCGGCTTGGTGATGACGAAGAAAAGGATCCTGGCGAAGCAACTTGCCACACATGCAGTGTGCGTCTGTGCCACTCGGCTCGAGAACTGCCGGATCAAATGGCAGTTCTTCTGGGATTGCACGCGTGCACGGCCTGCTGCAACCCCAACCAGGCTGGGGCGGCATCAGAAACCGTACAATGGGAACTGTCCTTGCTCCGACCTGGCATTGCAGCAATGAAGCAGCAAGTCTGCACAGAGCTTTTTGAAGGACCACAGCGTCCCACTTCGAGCACTGCCACGTCACTGCTTTCGAGGATCCTCGGGCCCGAGAAACGATGCCGGCCTGGAGCGCATACCTGGAGCAAGCCGCCTGGAGAAAGGAGCTCTGACAGCGGAAGCTGTCTGCCAATAACGAGTGGACCTTTCTTTGCCATGTGTACAAATCCGCCTAAATCATGGATGCTCTGGGGTTGAGAGCCCCGGGGCATCCCGTCACGGATACTGACGCTAAGCCGAAGTAGCCGGAATGATCAGGACTCAGGCTGGCATCCCTAGGGCCTGGGGCAGAATCTCGCCGAACGTGACGATCAAAGCAGTAGAGACCTCTTCTCTGGTTGCTTGCAACGGAAATCTTTGGCCAAAGGGCCACTGCCGCACAAAGCTTCAACCTTGATCCCTAAAATGCCGCAGTTCGTATGGTGACATGCCACTTGAAGTCGCCAAGCTGCGAAAAAACCAACGAGGCCACTGGCAATGTCTGCTGTCAAGATGGACAAGGCCTGCCAAGTTATCAAGGTACTCAAGCTGCTACCGCGTCCTAGGCCATGAAGCCATTTCTCGTCAATGGCTGTCTCAAAGTGATGCTCAGAGCTGAACGTAACTTAATACGGACCCCTAGGCATATACCCTTAATATAGCTATTATATACCCATTATATAGCAAATTATAGGGTAGGGGTCCCCATTAAGGGTCCCTCCTTTTCCCCTTTGATGAACATGATACGATCCTCTGACCCATAACCGTGCCGAAAGCGCTGAATTGACAGCCACATTGCCCAAGAGGAGCGTGCACCTTTGCCGTCTTGATTATTCTTTGTTTCCGTGTTTCTTCTGCTCTCTCTCTCTCGCTTGGTGCTGCGGGTATAGTGGGTCGAGCTCCTTTGTTGTTCATGGAGAGGACGGGGTGGGGAGTGGAACAACGGTTGACGAGAAGGAATAACGCTACAATGATCAGAAACTGAAGCGCAGCAACAACTCCACATTACATGTAACCATTTACCATGAAGACATCAAGCAGCAGTCTCTCTGTCTTTCTTTCTTCTTTTCGCCAGGATTGAGGGCGCACCCACTTCGGTACAGCAGTCTTGCTTGCACACAACCAACGGATGAGGCATCTCCCATCTCCGCGCAACCGGTGCGCACTGGTTCTCATGTCCTTGTGAGACCTTCGGTTCTGGTGTGGCACGGTCAGGTACTCTCCGGACCCCACTGAACTTTAACCTAAATAATAAAACGCTGCCTCGTGCGACAGTCTCTCTCTCTCTCTTTCTCTCTGCTTCTTTGCCCAGCCCCCTGCCATTCGCGGGCCTTGTAGGTTCCGTTTCCTTTTAGGCTTCTCTGCATGACGCAGCCCAGGCTCGATCTCTAAGCCGCCCTTCGCTCTCTCGCATGTCTGCCCAGGCATGAGCCCGAGAAGCTCCCCGTTCCCGACACGAACAGCTGCTCCCAACGTCCTGGTCTCCCTCTTCTTCCCCGCAGCAAGAGAAATCCGCCCCACGTTTATATCACGTCTATGTAGCTGGATCAGAGCGGGCGAAATACCTTCACTCTCGCACACCCACTTGTTGCGGCGGGCACCGAAAAGTCTACGTGAGCCGAACACGCAAATTGCTTGCACAAATAGACCATATGACACTGCTGGCAACATTCCATGTCGTTGTGGCTTCTGCAAGTTTAGGGGTGCCCCTCTCTTGCTTGTTTATTTGCTTGCTTGCTTGCATGGCGTTTAGGGAAGAGGGCCAAGGAACCCTTTCCCCCAGAGGCCAAGCAACCCTCCCCCAGCGCGCGAGCGCCACGCCGAGTGCCGGTGTCCGGTCTGTTGTGAAACTTCGCATAGGGTTCAAGCGAGGTGTTCCAGGTTTTCATCCCCGACAGTTTCCATGTATCCCCTTTCTTTCGGAAGGGTAGAAGGAAAGGGAGCGATCCTCCCCTGCGCGCGTCAGCGCCCGCCGATATTGATCATACTGCAGAGCAGTATGCGATGATCGGGGACATGTCCCCGCGGCTAGCATGCACCAAGGGCACCTCAGAAACATGTGATGTAGCAATGTTACGTTTTTTTCTTGCTTCTGAGGCTTTGCTGCTAGGGTGCCCAGAAGACCTCAGTGTAGAGACGACGCGGAAGGTGATAACCGATATCCTATGTCTTAGGGTGCCAACATGTCCCCATACTGTGTTTCACAGTGCTCATTTCGTCGCAGGCAGTTAAAGGCAACAGGGGAGTGCACAACAGCTGACCGGGAAACTGAGTATCCCCTCTCCCTCTCTCGCTCTTCTTCCCCGGGGCATGAGGGGGTTTCGAAACCCCTCGGCCTTGTAGCCCCCCCCGCTCTCTCTCTCTCTCTCTCTCCCTCTCTCTCTCTCTTTCTTCCGGGTGGGAGGTAGGGGTAGCATCCTGGCCCTCTCTCTCTTCTTCTGCAGGGCTTAAGGGGCGTGTCAGGCCCCCCGGCCTCGTGGGCCCCCCGTTTGTTACGGGGCTTTCGGTAGGGCGTGAAAATGCATGGGTTCCCCCAGGTTCATTCGACGAAATGTATTGGACTATGAACCTCCCAGGATCGCCCATGTTTGTTGACACATGCATCCAACAGCACTCGTGGGATTGGACAGCCAAAAGATCAAGTCAGTGCATACAAGTAGAATCGTTCGTCCCCCACCGTGAGTTGGCACTAATTTCCTAGTTCCCCAAAGATGAAGGCACTTTACATGTGCGCTGGTGCTTCGGGTAACGTGTCCCCCTCGACTCCACAGGATGTTCTAACAAAACAGCAGAAGTCATAGTGTACGCAACCACAGCAAAACGAAGGTGACTGTGGTATGACAGTTCGTCGAGGTTTTGGGGCCTTGACACATTCAGGAGATTTTGTGAGACTGAGGTTCCAGTACCATATTTGGCAAGGTGATACAGGCTACACAAGAAGTTTTCGTGGTACTGGTTCCCCGTATCGTGGTCCTAGTGCAGAAACAGTTCGGCATACAACTGGGGCCCTCTCTCTCTCTCTCTACCGGGCGCAGAGGAAGGGCCAGCGTCCAGGGCCCCCCCCCCTGTGCGAGTTCGCACACCCGCGTTTCACGGGTGGTTTCATCCCCCGTCGGTTTGACTGAAAGGGGCTCAGCTTTACTGGTAAAAAGGAGAAGGTCAGTATGTGTTCCCCCCCAGGGTCAAAAGTAACTAGAGCAGACATGCAAAACTGATATTGGCCTTCTCCGGGGGCAAGAGGAAAAGGCATGCTATCCCCCGTGGCTTCGCACAGGCAACTCTGAAAAAGTCATGGTCGGAGTCATACTGAATTGGTGCCTCTTGTCCCCCGAATTCAGTTGCGGTAGGTGTGCTAAAAAGAACCTAGGATTAGGGCTTATGTTCAGCCCGTTGAGTGAGGGTTTGCCTGAGTAGGGCCAGGTCGGCCCGCACAAAGAATTCACACCAAGTCGCAGCTTTGCTGGTACTTTCAGGCATACGGTGAGGTCACATTGAAAGACCGAAGGTATGTGCATGTGCAAGACAGCAAGGTGCATTAGGGGAACGAGGGCGGGTCAGCGTCATCCCCCGAAGTCCAAGAAACCCAACGCCCCCGAAGAAAACCAAGGACACATCCCCCCCCCTCGCTCCCTCAAAACTTTTTACACACGCCTTCACTCACTTTGTTCAGCTTCGTCGTTCACTGCTGGCCCGCATGTGCTGTTGCACTTCTCTCCATCTGGCGTTCGGCCGCAGCGTGGCTCTCAGGGGGCTTCGGCTTGGTGAGCGAGGTTTTTGTCCCCCCGCTGCTGAGCTTGACTCGGCCGTGGACTGTGCCGTCGTTCCCCCGAGAGCCAGGTCGGCGTCGTCTTGGGCAGTGCGGTCATCATGGCTGTCGCTCCCCCAGTCCGGTGCATCGTCGCGGAGGTCTGTCTCCCCCATTGCTGGGAGTTGCTCTCTCCCCACTGTTGCACATGACTGGCTTGACCGGCTCGGTTCCTTCACTGGCTTGCTCTTCTTGTCTTTACGTTCTGCTGTATCTCCCCGCTGGTGACGTTCTTTCCTTTCTTCTTTGGCTTTCTTGTGCACCTCCTTTTCCCCCTTCTTGGTCTTCTTGGTCTTCTTCTGCTTGGCCTTGTTGTGCACCGTCTTCTCCCCCTTCGCGTTCCTCTCGGGCTTGGGCTTCTCCGGCTCGTCTCCCTCGCGCGTCTGGAAGACACGCTTTGCTTGGGACAGAAGTGGGGAGACTTTCCATGGAAATCTCCCCACGTATATCCGCAGCTCCTCTTCCACACGTGGGTTGTGTTTTCCCACCAGCTCCACCAGCTTGTCGGCATTTCTGCCGGTGGCTCGCCTTTCGTTGTGTCTTTGCAGGTAGCACTTGTAGTCGGCGACCTCGTCCTCCAGGAGTGGGTCCCCCGTCGCCCAGTCCACATATTGCTGGGAACGCCACAGGAAAAGTGGATATCCTTTCCGATCCACCGGTCCAAAGGCCCTGGCTCATATAGCAATGCCAGGCCACCTTCCGTCTCGAAGCGGACGTAGTTTGCCCATGGCTTGCCGCTTCCCCCGCCGTCGGCATCAGGGCTGCGGGTACCTCCCCCGCTTTCGGCGTCTTCAGGGTTGCGACTCTGTACCAGAACTTTCTGCGCAGCTCCCCCCCGTCTGAGGTCACATGCTCTCCCCGTGCTGGTGAAGGTGCCGTTTGCGACCATGGTCTTGTAGCAACCTTCCCCCGGCTCGTGAGCTTTATGGCAGAAGGGCCCCTGCAAGCATGCTTTGCAGGTCACCCCCATCTCCTTGAGTACCTCAGCCAGTTTGCATTGGTCCTCCCAAGTGGTGTTAACTTTGGCTGGCTTCGCAGATGGAGACCTTGACTGTCGTCTCCCCCTCTGCTTGTCCATCCCCCCGGCCGTGGGGTTGCTTGAAGAGCTTGCCATCGAAGTAGACGTGGTACCGGTACTTTAAGAGATCACCGAGAGTTCCACCGGCACAAAGTATGACCCTTCCCCCTACTGGCGGGCCACCTTCCGGAGAAGGGCCGCGGTCAGGTTCCAGGTTGCGCGGTCCTACCGAGGGCCTCTTAAACAAAGTGGCGACGGATATGTGGACTCAAGCAATGCTGGGAAAGACAGGAAGGCTCTCCTGGAGTCACAGTCCAGGCCAACCCCCTGTCTCTCCCCCCGGCAAAGGGGCGTAACAGGCCCCGAAGCACAGGTGCATTACTTGAGCCAAAATGGCTACTCTCTCTCTCTCTCTCTCTCTCTCTCTCCTCTTTCTTGCTTGAAGAACCGGAGGCAAGTTTCCAAACACACCATGCCCTGCTGAACATGCTGCTATCTCTTGTCATTTCTTTCTCCCGTGGTGCTACGATCCAGCAACTCTTTGCCAAGTGGCAGAAGTTGGTTTCCAGACTCCCGAATTGGCGCGATTCTCGCAGCACACCTTCGCGCACTTGAGCTTCTGATTTGACCAACCGGGCACGTCACATGTTGTTCTTAAGGGGAGGGAGGCAGTGCAGCGCCGACAGGCACACGATGCCGGACCATGGCACTTCTTGAATCAGTCATACGATGTTTTGGGCCAGTTCAACCCAGGCCTGGCCATCTCCTTGTTCTCACCCTTCTGAACGATCTGAAGGCCGATCACCTCAGCGCTAGGCCCAACACTTAAGTTGTGCCGTGGAAGCTACTTCATGCAAAGATAAGAGAAGCCAGCTACCTCCAATTTGAAGCTGAATCGCGTCCAGTCCCATAAGACCCAAGGTGAGGCCGGAGAAGAGGCCGGACAAAGCGACCAGTATCCTGCACATGCTGGGATAATGCGACCAGCCGCGGCAAGGCACATCTAGAGGCAACTTTAGCTGGATTTGTTTGAAAGCAGGTTGTCCGACTGAACATCATCCGAGTTCAACAGGAAGAACAACGCAAAGGAGTGCTCCCAAGCATGACGGGTGCACGCTATCATCGGCAGTGTGGCATACAGCGGAAGGATCGGTTCGACGTCATCGGCCTTGTTCAATTGAGGGTATGGCTACGATCTTTCCTCTTGGCTTCCTAGGCTTCAGCGCTGGCGCTCCCCTGCAGGCACTCACTGAATTCGGATATGCTCAATATCTTTGCATTCCATGCTCCATGATTGTCCTATGTCTTCCTGCTTGATGGCCTCTCCACATTCACAACCAGTTCCGGTGTTGTTTCCAGCTGCCACAACCTGGGCAGGCATGCATGCTTCTGAGCAAATACACTGCCTGCAGCTGCATAGCTGCAGCTTGCTAGTCTAGCTTGACCGGCTGATCTCGGCAAGCCTTCACCATAAATGACACAAAAAACCCTCGTGGCACGTGCCTGTGGGACAAGCGTGAAGAGCGTCAAAGTCGCCACAAAGAAGCCACTGACCTTCACCTGCCGTGTCAATACTGGCTTTGTAGCAGCACTTGTATCTTTCTGACCCTGTTTGTAGTCAGGCGCACATTCTCCAAGAATCCATCGCACGAGGCACCCAAAGTATCGAACGAACTGAGTCGAACGATGCCCAGCATTCAATTTTCCTCCAGTATACGATTGATGCAACGTTGCTATGGCTGCAGGCAGGAAGCACAGGGTTTACTGTTTATACTCAGCACGGTCTTACAAAGTTGAACATTGCCTGCTGCCCCCGCCTACAAGGTTTTGATTGGGAATGGAAGTATCCCCATGCACGACCTGTCAATTCGAACCAGGCGTACACACGCTTCTCTTCCTGGCAGATCGTTTGCCTGCGCAGGTGCTCTGCGGCGCCCCAAGCGTCTTCAAACAAATGCCTGTTAGCATAGGATTTCTTCTGACTTTCTGATTTCTGCAATTGTGAAACGGGTTTGTCGCAAGGAGGCTGGAAGCACGGTAGAGGAACTACGAAACCTGTACAGTAGAGCTTCGATGACCTCAAGCCTGCACGACCTTAAGTCTAATCTACCGTCTGGAACCGGCCACAACTAACCTGACAAACCACATCCGTCACCTTTCATGAGGTGAACGCTCGACTCCATTGTCGGACGCAGCAACTGACTTTGGTTGCTCACGCGCATTTCCGAAGTAGGTGTAGCCCAGGAAGCCGACCTCGCAGCACAACGGAGGGCTTCTGACATAGGGGCCTTCATAATTAGATTAGGGTTCTGGGATGGGCGCATTATACTATAACTATGAGAATAATCATAAGGAGCCCCCCCAATATAGTTTTGGTAATAATTTGGGCCCCTGTATCAACACCGGCTCTCGTGGTACGGGCTGGCTTGGCTGCTCCCGTCTCCTAGCTGGCCCTGCTGCGCCGACTTCGCTGATCCGGAAGTTGAAGCTCCGCGAGAACAAAGCTTCAGCATTGAGTCTTTGTCGTTGAGGGCGCCGCAAGGGCCAAAGCATATCCTGGCCAATGAAAGACATGCTCATGCATTTTGCAGGCTCGCTTCAGAGAAAAGTGCGGGCAATACCGATGCGAAGGTGAGTTGCCTGTCACATGCTTCGGCTTGATGGGCTCTCCAAGCATCATAGCACCGTACCTAATCACCATCAGCCACACTTGCAACACATGTATTGACGATGCGACTTGCAGCTTTGTCGCGCAACGAGGGAAACATTTCGAAATGTTGTCCTCGGTACAAATGCTACGGAGCTGCTGCTATTCTGTGAGAAACCTTTGCAGAGGCCGATGTTGATTAAGCTCTTTGACTTTAAGGTTTCAGCCAAGGCTCACAATCTTGAGACTTAGCGCGCCACATGATTTGATGACCATATAGCCTTAGCCCGAAGAACTAAGAGGTGGTTTTACTGATCGGAACTGACCTTGGTACAGCCACTTTCAGTTTCATTACTGGGGGGGTCAGAGGCATCAGTTCCAGTGCTTTTCCGGATGAGTCTTGATGAAGACAACCTTTCCACGCTCCTCTAATGCATACTTGGCCTCCACTACCGGCAGCGCGTGCTCTTACAGAACTTTACAGGATGCAAGATGCAAAACAACCATGGGAAACACCGAGACGCCTGTCTTGCAAAGCCGCAGACTCGACCGGGTGCAAAGCTGTCTTTTCTAAAGCTTGGAATTCTAAGGCCTTCGATCGGCATCATCGGCGTCGTTATCAGGCACTATTTCGACCTGATTTGCGTTTACTCGCCTGAGGAACAAATCAACACTGGTGCCATATCCGGGCAGGGAAACCAGGTTCAGTGAACCGCCCAGATATCGGGCATAGAGGCGAGAGAGTGGAAGACCTATGCCATATCCTGCTAGCGATGTCGCACCCTCACCATAGCTGGGACCTTTGCCAGCAGTTGTGTAAAGGTAGGACCAGACCTTTGGTCCCACCCCGAAAGGAATTCCTCGTGCACGGTCACTAACTCGAATTGCAACTTCATGGTCGTCTGCACAAACGATCACATTAATCGGCCGCTTCTGCACATCACGATCTGACTTGGCAACTTCGGCCGTCGCACGGCAACTGTTTTTCAGTACCTCCGTCATGATGAAGCGCAGGAAGCCGGGGATGTATGAAAACCTCACACTGAGTCTCTGTTCGTCGAGCTGCTGTCGCTGCTGCTTGTCAAAACATGTGACATGTTTGATGTTTGTAGTCTGCGAGTCGTTGAACTTACGCCAGCATGCTTTGTGCCAAAAAACCTGGGAATTGCGCGCTCCTGGAACACTTCTACCTGGATGAGAGGGCAGCGACCAGTGTTGTCCTGCAAAAGTCGCGTAGGGCAACTTGTTGAAACGGACCGAGCAACACGTGCCAGTTGAAGCGACAAGACACAACACTCCTCGGTGATCTGCTGTACCCTCATAGCAGTGTCTCGACAGATCTGTGCCACGTCACAATCCGGGTCAATGATTCCAGCCATGGCATGCCCCCTTTGGAGCACTCCAGAATCTTCCATGGTCACGCAAGCCAAGTACCTCGAACATACAGGACATATCTCAGTATGCAACCAAAGTGATGCAGCCAACGCCAGCCAACATTTCCTGGATACTCAGAAAAGGCACTGTGACATGAGCATCTCGGTGCCTATGCAGTTCAAAAGAAAATCGTCCGCCCAGGGATCGGTAAAACCACTGCCGAACTCTTCCCCGCGCTCTGTATGCAAGCGATGCATGGCAATGGCCACCTGCACATGGCTTTGCTGGACGATGCAGTGCCGATAAACAGCTCGCTTTGAATGACAGCTCGCGCCTTGTGGCGAACAGGCTGCTGTGCATGTAGTGCATGCTGAACCACTGCTGTGAAAGCATCCAGTGTCGGCCGGCGCTGGACCAAGCGGAGGTCCCTGAAAACCTGCGAAGGCCAGAAGGCTGCGACTCACAAGAGACCCACCTTTGCGCGCATCACGGGAAAGGCCTTCATGTGCGAAGTGTGGATCTCTCTAAGCTCCTTAATGTCCTGCGTTCGATGCATGGCTTCAGAGTCTATACGCACGACCTTGCCCAAAAGACTTCGCAAGCGAATATTGCCCATCGACTGGCTATGACACTGAAGGAGCAAACGGATACCGTTGGCTTCCTCCCAATTCGGTATGTCTTGAATCCACCTGATTCGCTCCGCAATCCTGGGTGCAACAGTCGCTGAGAGCTAGTCCAAAACAAAGCGGCTATCCGCCAACGAAAAGAGCTGCTATGATCACGCTATAGTCCATCAAACTGGTGCTTCTGATTGGGTCTCGGTACTGCTAGTCCATGGCTGGTTTCCGCAAGGAAACATTTCCTCCGCAGCTCGATGTCGTGTTTTGCTCGGAGTGTTGCTGTCACTCCGACGTGGAGAGGTCGAAAATGGGCAGGAACCCAGTGGAGGTGCGGAGTCATGACAGATAGACAAGGATGACATGACGTGGTACACCTGCATGAGACGACCCCAAGCGCCATGGGGCTAATGATGCACTGCCAAGTGCTCTCACATGGGAGTGACATTTAGGAAACACAGGCGTTCACACCCTGAAGGAATGAAATTGTCACTTCTCAGGCCGGAGGGAGAACTTCTGAGACGGTCACCTTGTCTTGCGAACTTACATACGGAAAAGGTCAAACAGCAACCTCAGCTCAAGTTTTGAGTAAACTTCCAGTCAGACCCCAATTCTTCATGACAAAAATCGTGCGAAGACTGTTTTCGCATGTGGCTGCATAATGTATATGGGTTCCGGCAATGAAAAGTCAAGCACAACTTGTGCCAAAATACAATGTATGTCGAAGTTGTGATACAGTCAACACCGTGTCAAACGGTCATATGTGAGGAGCGCTCCGCTTCATTGGAGTTGCCGTCAACAAGTTTCGAAGAACACGACAGCATGCCCACCGGTGCTGGCTGCTGGCTTAGTGGATGTTGGAGACGCTTGGTATGACTTTTTGAACACATTCGGCCAGGATATGCATTCCGAGCTTAGCTGCAGCCGTGGCTGCAATGAGAAAGCGACACAACACCAAGGAGAGTACGCCTGAAGCAATCACCTCCCAAATCGGATGTACTGACTTTAACAATGCAAGTTTGCCGGTAACTTCTCTGGTCCCAGTTTGTTGGAAAACGAAGTGGCTCCCTCCTCGCTTTCTACAGTGCTCCTGAGAGACACGCCTCCTGAAGAACAGCAAGCTGTGTGACCGAGGCTCCGAATAGGCACCTCAACGTGCAAAAACTTGGCGATCCGCTGCGGTTCCAGCATGTCCAGCACTTCCTAACGAGGAGCTCACTTTGCCTTGCTTCTAGAAAGGCTGAGCTTGGATCAGGCCACAAGTCCTGCATGCTCACAGGGCGCGGCTGCATGGGCACAAAGTGGTCGAGCTCTCCTCCAGCAAGTCTGGCAGCAGGATTTTGGGAACATTTCTAAGTATCGTTGGGTTGTGCTCTTGGGACTTTCTCAGGCTGGCAGGGCTAATGGCTGGGACAGGCAAGGAGCCTTTGATGAACGCTTCAACGTCATCATCTCCGAGCACTTCCGGGACAATCCTTGGCGCACACAGGAATCTTCAGCTGTGAGCCTTTATGAACGGCTGTTCAACATGCATCAAAGTGTGCATCGAGGTTCGGCGATGCAGGTCAGCTTTCGAACTCTGGCATTCCGTTGCATGCTGTGGCCACAAAACATCTACTTCATGTTGAAATCACCATCCTTTGCATTTCCAAGTTTCAGTTCATACTTTCTACCCCGATGCTCGTCGCACCCATCACATTTTGTGTATTCATCATGTCGTATGGCTGCTTAAGGCTTCGGGTGGGGCATTCGACATCTGAATCTGGGGACAAGTAAATTTGCGGCTCGGGATGCTACGTCAGTCGATATTAGTTTCTCAATACAGTAGCAAAGCTGATACTAGTATTCCAGTCGTGCTTTGGTACATCTCTGGGCTAGATCGAACTGGCTAATTGATTAACAGGTCTTCTGATCCGAGGCACATCGAGCCCCGTTCCCAAGGAACCTGCGACTGGTGATACGACAATGCACGCGCATGACGAGTCATTTGCTCAAGGAGCCGCATTCTGGAATTTGCAGCGTGCTACCTGTGAATCAAGACGTCCACAGACCCGCTCACTTAAGAGCAGCACGTGGTCTTTCAACGTGCCTGCCCGTCCCAGCTTGAGGGTCCGTATCTACGCCGGCGAAGAGCCTGCGTGCTAGCAACGGTTCGGCTAGCAGGTGTTCCTTTCAAAGGGAGCTCTTCGGCCAACACCGCAGCAAAACATGAAAGCGAATGGATAGATCCAGGGCATGAATGTGAGAATCCTGAACCCGCACTCCAACCGATCAAAACACTGTTGTTGACTGCATGCACGACGGAAGCATCCCTCACAGTGAGTGTTCCGGAATTCAGTATTCAACGTTCGAGGATCCTCGTATGCTGCTCTCAATAGTGCAATGCCTGTTGAAGGTACGTGCAACGATCCGTGCACAAGCATGAAGTTGCCTAGGGGTCTAGCCCAGCTCCGGCTTGCAAGACCCAGCCTCGGCCGAGGACACGGGATCCACGCGCTCAACCTTGCCATGGTGCAGAAGAGATGCAGATGTTTCTCAATTGGTCTGCTTCCATGTTTGAACCCAAGCTCAGAGGTTTCCACAACATCGCCCGTCCCACCTGGATACGTGGGCCTTCCCAGGAGTTGAACCTCCTGCCCCCGATGGACGGGGCTAAGCGTCCTACAGGGCACCGCTTGGAGTCCAAAGGATCAACTTGTTGCACCACACCTCTCGCCTGGTCTCGGCAGCCTGAAGCGTATCCTTCTCGAAGCGGCTGCCATGGCTATGCACAAAAGGTCAGTGAAGTTTCGAACTGTATCTGCGATCTCGTAACCAGAGGCTGTTCGAATGGCCAGGTTCTACGAACTAGACATGCAGCTGCTTACTTGGAACCGTGGGGTGTTGCAGCAAGGGTTCTACTGCAGCACATTATCCGACCCAAACATCAGTATCAGCAGCATCTGCATGTGCTTTTCGCGCTGAGAAGGACAAACGAGTGCAATCAAAGCATTCTCACTATCGCGGGCCGTGGTGCAAGTCAGAATTAAGTGGAAGCCGGGTTCGTCATTCCACACAGGAATGCCATCGCTCCGAGCGGCTCGAGTAGTTCACCACGGTGCCAAGTCCGGCCTTTGAGGCCACGCAGAATGTGATAAGCAAGGCCTGCCTACTGTGCATTTTGGCAGATACTTGTAACATGTGTTCGGGAGGGGTGCGAACTTTGCAGTCCAGTGGCCGCGAACAAAAACAAGTGCGGATACCTTCAATCGGGCAAACGGTCGCAGTGCGTGATGCCTCTGACGTGAATGGTTGACAAGATGCACAGCAGCCCAAGCTGATATCACAGCATCCGAGTTGCTTAGAGAGCTTGTCCATGACCTTGTTTTTGCATCAGCTTTGCTCAAGCGAAGTGAACTGCCTCCGGCTGCCGGCTGCTCGTGCACTTGCTCTGCCAATTCTAGCTTCTCTCAACCGAGGGCCCTGCTGAAGGCCGTCATACGTAAACAAAAAGACCAGGAACTGCTTGCGAGCAAGTTACGTCCACCTCCAAAAGCTTTTGCCTAGGCCGAGCCCATCTTGAGGCTGCACATCGAGACATAAAGCAGCTGCTGTTGATTCAAGTTCTAGCGCTGTACACAGCCTTTGAGAACTGCCCGAGCGCGGCACTTCTTGACCGGTGCCTCTCAGGAAAAGCCAAGTTGCGACTCCATCGCGAGGGATGCAGAGAGAAGCGCTGCTGAAACGGTGGGTGCCAACACGTACTGTCCTGCTCGCAACATCAGCTAAGCTACCACTGAAAAACTAAGCTCCGCCACATCCACATCCAAATCCTCTCTCCGAATGAGACTACACACGTCGCACGAATGTCCTTCGGTGACGCTGAATTTGCCTCAGCGAGGCGCGGACACGTTGCGAATCCTGCTTCATATGTATCTGTAGAGTAGGCAGGCTCGTCACTTTGCAATCCACCGTCGCCATGAACGCGACAGTATCAGGCCAAGCTCTAGATCGAAAGGTGCAAACTAAGCAGACAGGCCGCATGCCCGTAGAAAGAATTGCGTCAGCCCAATCCGCAAAGCTTCCGTGATCATGGCAGCCAGCGAGCAGCTGAGTCCTGACAAGTCGCTGAGGTAGTTTAATCATGAGCCGTGTGCAGTTTATCACAAGTCTCTTACTTGGGAGGGATGGCCCGCTCCGCAGCCCCTCGCATTAGCCATGCTGCAAAGCAGGGCATGGCTGGCCAATTGCATATTTTCGGGATCCTAAAACATTTTCGATACCTTATGCGAACGAGTTTGACTCTTGAACCATTCCGACAACTTTGCGACCTATCGGGCAGGGCGTGATTCGCTACAAAGCGCTCGAAACCTGGCTTTTCTGAGAAGGCAATTAAACAGGATGGAATAGAGCATTTCTGTTCAAGCCTGTGCCAGCCAACCAAGCTCATGCACTGCACGACTGTGGTTGTTGTAGCCGGGCATGAGTTGGGCTGCCGAAGCAAAGACCTAGAAATGCCCGCTTGCAGCATGCAGGGCACTCCTCCAACATTCCACTCGGGCGATATTGCTGCGGTAATGAAGGTCCCGACCTCACAGCAAGGCCGTCGAGGGTTGCATAGAGATGAGGGTTTAAACCTTCCGGATGGGCTTTCGAGCCACTGGTCATGTGCATCTACTGCAGACAAGTTTCTGTGATGAGGCAAACCTCAGCTTTCTACGTCCCACGCGATCTCGTATTCGGGACTCGAGGCTCTTTTGTCATGTCCTCCGTTTGGTGCAAGCCGGAAGGTTGAGTTGTGAAACCTGCCCGATCTTCAAAAGATTGGGCCAACGGCTCCTGGTGGCATGATCCAGGCAAGAGGCGCAAAAGCAGGAGCCGAATGACGGACTTTCCAACCTGCCAGGCATCAGCTGCAGTTTCGTCTCACAAATGACCGACCACCGAGTACGAGTAAGTCTTTCTGCCCTGTTGCTGCCTGCCTACAGGTCTACAGCTTCTGATTTTGGTGACGTGAACTGCCGGGAGTGTGTTGGGTGGAAAACTGAAAGCCAGGGGTTTCCTTTCGATTGAAGAATCATGGATAGTAGATTGGAGTGCGGGCCTCAGCGCCACAAGAACCAGCAAAATACAGATCGGAGTGCCTGGCCAGGCTTTGCTGGATGTCAGTTGAATCTGACAAGCAAGCAGGGCATCTCGCAGCGGGTTAAGAGTGGATGAAACTGAAAACCTTGATCAAAGAGCAAAGATCTAGCACCTGCCTGCTTTCAGCATCTGCGTGGAGCCGATGCCTAGAAAAAGATATGTCGCATTGCCTGAGGATGGTAAGGTCACAGAGATGTCATGAGGCTGTTGACTTCCATTTACATGCGGACATGCTCCGGCGGTTCCATGCCAACAACACTCCAACAACTCAGCAGCAACATGTCTGCATGTGCAGGCAGTAAAACATGTGTCAAGGACCGGGGTCATGGCCGAAGGCCAACGTCGAGGCCTGACAGTCAGACATTGTGACATTGGCTGTAAGCACTTCGAATCTAGTGGCATTCGCTTTACAACTGGCTTGCACGAAGCACGCATCATCGTCTGGTCTGGCAGAAAACGAAGGCATCAGCATGCTTTGAGAAGTGGAGATGGGCTCATGCGGCCCTTAACCTTTAGAATGCCGAAAGTAAGGAAGCCAGCAAAATTCTTGCAATGCCTGACAAAGCGCCACTGGCACCTTGGCACATGTGCAAAAGAATGTGGGCGTTTCGCTGACCTTGCTTGGATCCTTGCAGTGTGGTGCTCGGGCGCGCCGGTGTGTAAGTCTGCGCGTGCATGAGTCAGCGAGTTGACGATGTGCGGGTGAATGATGAGTGACTGTGAGAATGATCAATCAAGTGCAAGACCATGCCACATCTGTAAATGATGTGAGTATGGAGGGTATACCAACTGATGTGTGAACTGCAAACCCTTACCTGCACCCACCTACCTACACACCAACACACACAGAGACACAAAGACAGACAGCTACAGCTAGACAGACACAAACACAGACACAGACAGGCAAAGACAGACAGACAGACAGAGACAGACAGAGACAGACAGAGAGAGAGAGAGAGAAACACAGACAGACAGATAGACCGACAAAGACAAACACAAACACTCAAGGGAGGGGAGGGGAGGGAGCGTGTCGGATGTTCCTGACTTGCGCCGGCTATTGGCTTCTGTGTTTGCGTCATGCTTGGGTCGCGGATGTCCGTTTGTCCTACGGTATAGACGCATAGTTTTCTCACCAGGCACTGCCTGCCGAAACCAGATGTGCGAAACCCACGTTGGCAGACCAAGCGGCCACACTGTAAAACCAGGACTTGCCAGTCATAAGTGCCGATGCCTCCTTCCTGATGCACAAATGCTTTCTCGTCTTGGAACTTGGTGGTCTTTGGCATTTACAGGGCACAGCCACGTCTGCATCTCAGTCCTCACTGTGGTCAAGCCAGCTAGCACACTCAGATGTGCCGTCGTTGCCGAGGCGAATGTACCTGCTCACGGTGCATGGCTGTGCAGCTAACGCACGGCTGACGTGAGCTGTTCGTTTCTCTCTCTGTGCAGAAAGCCTGATGCTTCGCAAGCTGGGTACACGAACCGCTTGGACATTGCTGGTCCACCTTTGCAACTCCAGTTTCCTAGGTGCTTTTTTTGTGCGAGGTTGTTCGATCGCATCGACAGCATGATGCTGTCGAGGAAGTCTTTGACAGCTAAGCTGGAAGTTTTAAACTTCCTGGTCGGGCACTAAGCAACAGCTGTGTGCATTCAATTAACCTACCTCCGGTCACACAAAGGTTCTCCAAAAGCTTCCTTCTGGAATTTGCCGGCACCAACATGCTTCAGGACGGCGGAATCACGCAACAGCATCCTGAGAGTGTCAAGGAATGGTGAGGACTTCAACGCGCAAAGCATCTGCCCTGTGTCCAACCGGGTCTGCACTGGTACACTCCTTTGCGGATACTCCGCTCGAGCATCTCTTGGCAGCTCCGTTAGTTGAACATTAAGTTCACCGTCAAACCTTGTTGGACTCTGATTAATTTTGACACTACTCCTTCGACATTGTCGAAATGCTCCTTTCCCGCCCGGGTGCTCGTGAGGCTGATGACGATCGCGAGAAAAAGCCAAGTGTGGGGATGCGCAGCCAGGGCAAAGTGCTCATACCAGTGACACACCCGAAGCGGCTACTTTGTCGAGGCTGCAGAGCCTCCGGCGAGGCGAGGGCTCAAAGAGGCTTCTACAAAACGAGTATGCGAAACAGCGTGGCCACGTCGAAACCCCTCCAATCTCAAACGCAAACCCGAACGCTCTCAAATCATTTGCAAACTACCAGCCCCGGCAACAGCGGTTCAACCCAGAAGCTTGTTGCATCATCCGGTATCTCATCGGCACGCCACGTACAAGTTCCCAGCGCAACGACAAAAATCATCAGCCTCAGCTGCTTGTTTCCTCCACAGCCTACTGAGAATCAGGTTGCTGCTCAACAATCCCGGAAAGTCCTCCCCGTGATGGGCGCGCGCACGCTGCGTCCCTCATCCCGCTGTGAAAAAACTAATTTCACCAGTAGTCATCCACCCACCTGTAGTAGTTGTGATTCTGCCTATGTGTCGAACAGCTCACCAAAATGGAAATCAGGAGATCCTGAGGTTAGCCTTCTGCTTCCAGGTGCAGGAAGCACATAAACAAGGACAGGCCTGTCTGTGCTATCGTGGATGCACTGCTAAGTCCCGGTCCGAACAGATCCGGACTCCAGGGCCATGGCCAAAGCTCCTGAAATTCAGTTGCGTCCGGCATTCCCTCAGTGCCGGTACTGACCCACTGGCCGTGCATCGGTCCTGCGCCCATTGCGTAGAGCGCTGCAAGGAGAGCCCTGGGCGTGTTCTTATCAACAACATCTTACTTCTGGTGCTTCGCTCTGCCTTTTCTGGTTGTCGCAGTCTTATGTTCTAGTCGCTCTTCTTCCGAGCGCTCTCAACCCCATGCATGTTCGCCACACGAACGTTTGTGCATGTGGGCGTACTGCTGCATGGTGGCTGTTTCTCTTCAGCAGGCTCTCCGTCCCCCCCCGCTCTCTTTCTTTCTTGCTTGCTGGGGAGTAAGGTGGTGGACTCTCTTGCTTTCAGATTCACAGTGCTTCGCCTCTGTGCCAGTGCGCAGCCCTTCGTTAGGGGCGACGCTGGTCATCAATGAGCACCCACCCTGCTCCATCGCTCAACCCATGATAGTCGCTAGGCATAACCTCAAAATTCCAGGTTAGGACAGCGAGGACCTCCCGCTTGTCAACATTTGAGAGCTCAAGTGGATTTTGGCATCAAGTACAGTGCTGCACTTCGAGCAAGCTCCGGCAACCCTCCCTCCTCCCTCTGCACGTGCAGACTCTTGTAAACGGAACTGTCAATCAGTGTCACAGCCACCGTGCGTAGATCGAAGCCATTCAAGCTCATGTCATGCCATCATGTAGACAATCCAGGCTGAAGGTGCAAGAGCTCAAGGACTTGTCAGCAGGGTTTTGGCACCAGGCTATGATGATGGGACATCATCAGCTGAGTGTCACCATCCCTTCTCAGTGTCCCAGAATAGCTTTCATACTCAACCGCAGGTTTCGACTTTCGTTTGTTTCGGCGAGCGACCCTTGGAGACAGGGCTGCGCGGAGCACATCCAGCTAACTCAATATATATATATATATATATATATATATATATATAGAGAGTGAGAGAGAGAGAGCGTAGGCATGTTTACACATATGTAGAGACATGTATCTGCGTGTTCGTATGTGTGTGCGCGGATGTGTGTATGTGCTTCTGACATCTTCACCAAGCTCACCACAATCTTCAGTGTCTGCCCCTTCGGAATGCTTGAAGCAGGCTTCCATCGCCGCTCTCGCTCTTATCGCGTTTCTATATTCTGTCTGTCTGAAAGGCATAGGGAACTGCCTCTCGCTCTACGGATGTCGTCTTGCCTGGTCTTCAGTCCGTCTTGGCACCACTACCGACAAGTACGACGGCTATCCTACCAAAGGCACTTTACCTCTGCTGCTGCATCTGCCCAGCCGAAGGCATCGCACTGTTACTACAAACGTTGACAACGCAATCGCAACTCCTACTTCTGCTACTTCGTTGCCTGGCAGTACAGTACCGGTCCAGTCTTTCGATTTCAAGGACAGAGCATGTATTCAAAGACAAGGTTCAGAAGCAGGATCAAAGCAATGGGCTGGTGCTTGAAGCGAAAATCCATGAACACGTAATGGTAGACCTTCGTCCTTGGATGCGGGTCGTATGTCAATGTCGCTAGAACGCATCCTGAGCAGGGGCATTCTAGTCATCTCGGCCAAAAGCCGATCCAGAAGAACAAGGCTTGTCTTGCAGAAAAGTCGCTTTATGAAGAAATACCTTAGAGTTGATGCTGAACAGACCCAGTACATGGGATATCTGTTGCAGTTGCGGCTGGCAGATTCCTTTTCTTGGCTTCCATCTTTGGGCCTTCGGCTGCCGTGCATTCTGAAATCAGACAGCAGCGCTGGCAGTACAAAGCCAAGGCCAGGATGAAATGGTAGGCGGCATGTGATGGCAAACCAACCAATCAGTGCATCTTGTCTTCATGATAAAGCCTGTGTCGGTTGTGGGCCGTGCAGAGCGGTTTGTGTACTGCAACTACAGAGCAACATTTACGGAACGGCTGTCGCGTTTCCGACAGGAGGTTTGAGGCATTTGCGTTGATTAATTGGTGGACTGCGCCCATGGCCATGGCCTCTCCACGCGATGCAATCCATGATAAACAAGTAATCTTATACATTGCGTGTCAGGCTGGGGAACTAGCTGGCGCCTGAGATTCTCTTAAACATCTGCGGATTTAGAAGCTTTCCGGAGTTGCGAGGGGCGGCCACGGTGCTCCACCCCCTAGCCTGCATAAAGCCCTGTCAAGGACGGAGCAGGTGTCATAGCTGCCAACGGAGGGTTGACAAACGAAGGCAGGGAGACACCCAAGCTTGCTGAGCCTCTCAATACTGCTAGTAGTTAGTACGTAGAAGCTTGGAAGATTCTGAGTCACATCCTGCCTTCGCTATGTGCTCCAAGCGTGCTGCATCGACAACTTTTGCCCGATTCATATGTGTGCATGAGGACGAAGCCATGTTCTACGAAACCAAAGGCAGGTTTTCTGGCTCTCATGATTGCAGGTGGATCCTGTTTGTGAAACACGTATATCATGTGGTGTACCGCACCTTGGGCAACTTGGGCTTTCCTTTGGCGGAGCGAAATTTAGCTCCGATCTTTTGCATTGACGAAGAGATTGCTAGATGGTCTGCACCTCCATGTCGGCAGCGGCTGCAAAGCAAAATAGAAATCGTGGGTGATGCTTGAATGAAGACAGCTTGTCAAAGGCCTGCCAGGTGGCCTCGCAACCATCCAGCAACAAAGAAACTGGCTTGCGAGAAGCGGTGCCATGCGGAACATCTGCGCACATCCCTGATTCATCAATCAGCACATGTTTGAGTGGTGCCAAGCAGTCCAAACCCCAAGCTGCAACTTCAATTTCTTGGGAGTTCAAGAGACACGGGTCGTCCGGGGCCCCACATACCGGAAAACATCTGACCTGGAGGGGGCTGTCGGGCAAAGATTGCTCTAAGTACTCTCCGTCTGCGTAGCGGATGCAGTGCACCAGCATGTTCTGCGGCTCGCAAGCCAGGACTACTGAAGGCATTGTGCATGCATGCAAGCCACCCGCTCTTGCTAGAGTCGTGGCTGGGTGCCGGAGAATGAAGTCGGAGTCTCGCGAGGGCCAGCACAGATCGCGCCCTGCTGTCCCGTCTTTTCCTATATGATACGGACTTTCCGGCGGTGCCATCGTCTCCTTGAAAGAATGTGAGGATGCACGCAAGTTCAGGGAACGATCTGTGTGCAAGGGCGGGCGGGCTTCCGGGCTGAAAACTGGCCACGCTTGCTTCTCAGCTCGCCTGCCCTTGCAGAAACAGCTTCCTATGGCCCTCCCGACTCTCGCTGCGTGTGCACAGGTATCTGTCCGAGCTTTGCTGGTACGGACAGAAAGCCTCGCAGCTGACGCACGCTGACACCATCTGAGAACCGTTCGACACTTTTTATTTCTCATTGCCTTCCTGAACAGTCGATGACAGCTGCAAGGCTTTCTCAGGTAACAAAAAACGCTGCGAGTGTCTGTGCATGCCTACAGCAAGGCGGCTAAGCACGCTTCATCTCCCAGAAAGCGACTTGCGCAGACACAGCGCCCGTACCCAAGCGCATCAAGACTTGCAGCAAATGTGGCAAGCTCTATCTAGGCAGCCCAGACAAGTCCGTCTGTGGCCTTCACCCCAAGGAGTCCGAGCAAACGCTCCTTGGCTGTGCACACAAGATGGTAGAAACTCATCCTGCAGCCTCACCCGCCCCTATGCCACGACTTTGGAATCTAGCATGTGCGGCTGATGGACTCTTAGGAGTCACTGCTGGGCGAACACGGCACGTGCTGACACAAAGCCACTGCCAAAGCTTTGTCGAGACGCCTGATGCTAGTCGCCCATGCCTGCAGGATCTGCTTCCCAGTTTAGAGCGCTCCAGCTGATGCCTTCCTCAGACGCAGCAAAGACGGAGCGGACACTGCAAACAGAATGGCCGGTAGGATCAGTGTCGAGCCGACTCAATGCCACGTCCAACAAGTGGCAAGAACAGCAAACTGGTGTGTTGATACACACAAGATCACAAGGAAGGGATGCCTCGACGAGAGGGGCGGAGGTTGGTACTGTAATCCTCTTCCAAACCTACGATCGCCAAGTCTCTGGTCCAATAGCCAAACTGCATGCAAGATCTACGCCTACGAGCAGTTCTCCTGCTTTACTTGCTTGGGTCGTGGAGCTGAGGCTGGCGACCGCGTCGGAAACTGCGGTGGGTCCGACGACAGGCGGGCCACGCGCACCTGCTTACATCTCTGATTCCCGAATCCTTTCTTTGCCGCGGTTTGTTTCGCGATCCTGATCTGGCCTTATATGGACCCTCATCTCGGAAGGCCAAGCAGGGCGTCAGCCGTTTGCCTGGATAAGTCGGGGGCTCATGTTGCATCTGTGTGCTGGAAAAGGCGACCACAAATGAGCCCACGAGGAACCGCCAAGGTGCCCTCGGCCCAGGACCTCAGCGAATGGCGTCGTGCTTGACCGATGCTCGCTAGATCCAGACGGGCCTTGCTTTGTAACTATGGCCCCGGCAAATCGGTGATGAATCCTGTGCACTCCCAGGGCCCAAGCTCCTCGGATTCCTGTGGAGAAATTGCTCTTTTTTGTGCCGTGGCATGTTTGGCACACTTGCTTCAACTGTGAGTTGAAGTGGTCCTTGGGCTGTGCTTCTTGCTGCGCTTCCAACTCCTCCACATCATTCTGAATTACACACCTCGTCAGCCGAACACTGTGCGATGAAGATCCGCGGCTCAACGCATTCTTCCAGAAGCTTTGGTTGGTGGTACTCCCATTGGCGAAACCCGGGACTCCATGCCATTCTTCTTCTGTTTTGCATATTGCTGGCCGAGGAGCCTCCTAAAGAATGCCAACCGTCCGCCAAAGATGTACACGCCAACCACTCCCTGGAACTTGCGTCCTGTTGCACAGTTTCATGCTCATGTTGGTTGTTTATCTTGGCGTTGTGGCTTCCACACAGCTTCTGATGATCCGTTTGGCTTCTCTTACATTGGAGTCTTTTTGCTCAGGGAGCAGGCTGAACATAAAGCACGTGACACTTGGAGCATGCTGCGGCCAGCGGCATTGGCATTCCATCCCGCTTCTCTCCTGGGCGAGTTGTGGAGAGCGGCTGTATGTAGGCACCTCGAGGTACAAGCTGCGAAAGCAGTGTGGCTCCACCCGGCATCTGAAGTCTGGCTTGCGACTGCAGGTCATTTTTTGTCGGTCTGTTGCAGTCATGGTCATCCTCACAAACTGACTGGTACATGGCTTTCATCAGATGCTCCGAGGCTCATCGGTCTCGGTGCAAGCATCCGCAGAATTCGGACAAAGGTCAACACTTTGCTAGCACATGGCTTCCCAAGCAAAAGCTGGAAATTCCACCACCAACTACTTTGTATACCTGATTCCTTTGCTGACTCAGATCGGATGCACCGTCTTCGTAAGTTACGGCTGTGTGCGATGGGATTCCTTAATCCCAGCTAACATCAGCTGGCATTGACAAGTCATGGGCAGCAACCATTTGTTCGTGCCTAGTTCAAACGTGCCAGTGAGCACGACATAAAACAAAGAGCAGTGTTCTTCGCTGTTCACTGGCTGCGTCCATCTTGCCATGGGTCGATGCGGTGTGTGCCCGACCAACAAGAATTGATGGGGATCAAGTGGCACTTGTATGACATCATCTTGTACGGGCTAATACGGGCTAGTATCGAGTATAGCCTTCCAGTACAATTCGACATGACTTTCCTGATGTGACTCCAATCCCCATCAATGGTGTCCGGGCGAAGGTCTGGGCAGCATGTCAGGCGACGATCACAAGTCTTCTTAACACCGCTAAAGTTTGCGACCCTATTGACTTCGGCTCTTAGCAGGGCTGTCAAAACAGGTCTAGAAACATCCTCGCAGGTGAATGGTTTTTGTGACTACTTGTGGCGGCGACCGTGGTTGGCATTAACAAGCCAGGGCTTCTACATTCCGAGACTGCTCACCATCACATGCAGCCAGCAAGTAGCTGATGGCAATGCCGACAGCAGAATTTAAGAGCACTTGCGCCTGGCTGAGCCGCTAGGAAATCGACGCTCTGAGGAAAATTAAAACTACCCCGAGGCATGTTTCAAGACAGCCTGGGGTCAGCCAGCCGGCTTGTGGCTGTTTGGAGGCGATCACAAACCGCGTTGTCGGCCATCCATGCAAAGGAGCCTCTGCACAACGCTCGCCTCAGCCAGGCCGTGGTCGCTACAAACCTGGCCCTGCACGTGCTTTGCTGGAAGCGACTCTGAGGGATGCAGTCGAATTCACAACACATTGGGCCCCAAGCATATATGGAGTCCGAGTGGCAAGCTCGTCAGTGCAGCCTGCACGCTCTGGGTCGAAGTCCCTGCCGCCTCCCTGTGCCGGCAGCCGTGTGCGCTGCTTCTCCACGGTGCGGCAATAGAGAATGCAGTCCTGGGCGGCTTTCTACATGTCAGAAGGTTCCGGTTCCTGGCCGGTCAAATCTTCCATTCTCTTGAGCCAAGGCTCGGAAACCAAACGAAACATATCCATGAAAGGGTAGGAGCAAAGGACCCCAGTCAGCAGGCACATCCCTGAGGTCATGAATGGCAACGCAATAAAGCCATCGCTCGTAGGATCGCTGTAATAGGAATCCATCTGTAGGAAAAGCTGTGCAACGTTGTAGGACACGAGAGCGAAGGTAGCTATCCCGGCCAGCTCGAA